ACGAGCGTTCTGTAGCTAAGCTTCCAAACGTATGGTTACTTAAAGACAGTAGTATTGAGCACGAAGAACAGAACTAACTAAGTACATGAGCGAGTGTTCTTATATATCCTATCCTCCGTATACCATATCATATACCATTCAGGGTAGATCGGTGGTCGACCCTGAGATTCCTGTATACCCTGCGTATACCTCTGATGGTAGGTTCGATGGTAGATAGTCACGTGATGCGTGGCCGTTCCGGGCGTCGTATTGGCAATTCCCAATTGTACTAAATAACAGTTTGGTTTTGCCTGAGCGCTGCCCTTATCGGCGCTTTCTGCCTGGTGAGTCCGCCTTACTAGCAGGTTAACTAGCAGGGGTCCGTAACAGTAGTATACAGCTTAATAAATAAATACTATATTTAGCATTTTACTTAAATTAAATAACTATTTTATATAGAAAAGAATTACTATATTTTAATATAAATATACTATCTTATTTTCTAATTAATATCTATAATTCAGATTCTATTCTACTAGATATTATTTGTATCTTTTAAGAACTGCTACACAGTATTAACCTATATATAATAATAAAATATCTAGCTTTTGATAAGGACTTTAAAAGTATTTATATAACTTAATTCCAGCTAACTGGATCTTTCAGTGGATCTATTATTATGTAGCTAATACAGCTGATAAAAAGTATTATTACTCTTTTAAGATATATAACAGTATTCTTTATAATAATTAATATAATTTACTAAGACTGTGTATTCCCTGTATACTTAATAAAATAGTCTTTAAAATTTACTATAATGGGTATAGATATCTGGGATTAAATAAATTATATATAATATTAATATACAATTTCTTTATACTGTTTATAAAAAAGAACTTATACTGCTATATCTTATAATATTCTATATATAGTTAAAGTATTTATAATACTTATAAATTATATAATTAATTATAATTAATTAAGAGTCCATTCTAATTCTTCTATATAATTATATTAGATTTTATTATCAGTCTATCTAAAAATAAGAGATATAATACAGTTCTCACAGCTACTGATAAATTATTATATATAATTTAATTAATTACTGGATAAGAAGACTAGATTACAGCTTAATAAATATATATTTTCTAGAACAGTATTATCTGTAAATAAAGATTATTAAATATAATTATATCAGACTATAATCTGAAGTTTACAGATAATTTCTGATATAAGATAATTAAAATACTTAAAATCAGATATAATATAATTATAGTCTACCATCTGAGCACCGACAGGCAGGCGGAAAAAATATATTAAACAGCTATTATTATATTAAAATATTTATTTACTAATAAATATAAGATATTCTGGTACTTATACATAGTAGAAATATAATTTAATCTAAATATTTTATTATTAGATATAACTAATATCTTATTATTTAAAGTACTATACAGATTTCTGCTATATTTAATAACCTCCACTATTCAGTCCACGGGCGAAATATTATCTACTATATTTATTAAAGATTAGACTATTATCTATAACTGTATTTTAAATATATTATCTCTCATCAGAGCCCGGATAGCAGATATATTTAATCAGAATTATAAATTTATCTAATTAAAAAGCAGATCTGGCTTAAAATAATATATAAAATAAATATAAAATATATTCTATTAGACTTATCTAAACTTTATCTGTTAAATGCAGTTTCTTCAAGATTATTTAATGCATTGAAAAGTTAATATATAAATTATATCTACTACCAGATTAAATTATTTATTTTATAATTAATATTATATATCTCGAGCAGGTATATAAAAATAATTTTAAATATAAAAAATTAAATAAAATATCTGTATCTCCAGTAATAGTTCATAGCTACGAAGAGCATGAAGTTAATCAAATAATATAAATTAAAATAAATAAAATACTGTTATATTAGAAGAACAGAGACCAGATCTGAAAACTATTAGATAATATATAAAAGAACATCCCGGAGATACTAAAAATATACTAGAAAGACCAGTAATAATAATAAATATTTAAACATGCATAGAAAGCAGCTGGAGATGAATAATAAAAATCTTAATATTCATATCTCAGTTAACTGCTATTACTTATAATATAATTCTGTTTTCTACTTATCTTTATTACTTATATATATCATCTTCACTTTATTCTTTATTAACAATAATAACTATTAATAATATACATTCCAAGAAAGTATTCTAGAGCAGCGCTCTTTCTTTTACTGGATATATTCTTTTTAAACTGGTAATAGAGAGCAGGATGTCTGCTATCGAGCCAGTCATTGTCATTGACGGTAAGGGACACCTCTTGGGCCGCCTGGCCAGCACTGTTGCTAAGCAGCTGCTCAACGGTCAGTTCTTCCGTGCGAAGCTCAAGTACCACGCCTACCTTCGCAAGATGACTCGTTTCAACCCCACCCCGCATCTTCTACAAGGCTGTCCGCGGCATGATTCCCCACAAGACCGCCCGTGGTGCCGCTGCTATGGAGCACCTGAAGGTTTTCGAGGGTGTTCCTCCCCCCTACGACAAGAAGAAGCGTGGAAAGACCAGGGAGGAGACCTACTCCTTGGCAAAGCACGCGGTGTCCGAAGGCACCAAGGCTACCACGAAGTACTCGTCGTCTGCGTCTGCGTTTGCTTACTCCTGATCTCGCTTCTGAGTTCGCTTATTTCTGTACTCGCTTATTAACTGACTGATCTTTTACCAACTGACTGATCTTTTACTAACTGAGTGATCTTTTACTAACTGAGTGATCTCACGGCGGACACGCAGTTTGATTCACTACTGGTCTCCATCTTACTTCAACACTTACTTCCACTCTTACTTTAACTCATACTTCAACTCATACTTCAACTTTTACTTCACCTTCCACTCCTTATTTCATCTCTTACATATCATTTCAAACACTTCCACCATTTTTAATACTCTTATAGTTTCTACTTTTCATTCCCATTCATCTTTTTATATTCTTTTAAACAACAGCTTTATCCTTGTAATGTTATCGGATTCCAGCTCCGCCTCTGACAGTAACAACAAAGGCAATATAATAAGAATTCTATATTAGAAAATAACTAATAATAATAAAAAACTAATAAAGACTGCGGTCACTGGTTTCTATGATTTATTAATATAATATAATAGAATAATAACTGCTTTAAGCATTCTATCCGGTAAAGAAAAATCAGACTTATCTATTACTAAGTAGTAACTAAAACTGTAAGTATACTAGCTGGTAAATAATAATCTTAATCTTAATACTGAATCTCCAATATGCACTTATTTATTAATTATATAGATTTATATTATTCTATATAATAATATTATTATTACTTCTATCTGTAGACAATGTTGGACTGCTGATTTTATTAGAAAAGAAGAACTGCAATTAAACTGCATACTAAGAAATCTAATTATATAATTAAAAAAAAAAAGTATCTGCTACTTTCCTATTATCAGCAGCTATTATATACTAGATAGTAATATTATATATAAAAGTAAGAACTGGTTTATTAATTATAAATATCTTATTAAATAAGTAATTATCTATGGAATGGCTACGGTTAGTATTAGAGCCGTTGCCGAGCAACCGGCAAATATCTACTATATTAATTAAATTAAATAAAGTAATTTTAATATTCTAAATACTATTATAGATATTTTTATAAAGACCAAGCATTCCATAATTATTAACTATCTTATTATACTAAATGCTTTAAAAATTAAGATAATCTTTATAATTAGTAAGAGACTATACAACTTTCGGAATCCAATTATAAAATTATCCGGAGCAACCGATAGTAATTCTTTAGTAATTAGAAATAATATTACTACATAGATCTGTCCTATACTAAAAACTATCTAAAATACAGCAGAGATATAACAGAAGATTAATAATCTTACTACACAGTTAATACTTTTTATAAATAAACTAAATAATCTAAATCTGTTTTTAATTACAGAAGAGATAATTAAAGAAATCATAACTCTGTATCCCAATAATAAAGCCAGTAAGAAGATTATACAGAACATCTTATACACTACTAGATAAGGCTAAGTTGATACTTACTCATCTGCTTTGTGCTCATCTATTTTATTCTCCGTCGTCGACCATTCGCGTGTTTTATACTTCGTCAACTGCATGTTTTACTCTTCGATAACCTGATGATTCACGACACCGTTGAGGACAACAGCTTGTCAGGAGGCGGGAGTTTGCAATGTGCCTATCCAATCGGGTAGTGCCCTCTCCTTTTCTTCTATCTATTTAGAAAGCATCCTTAGTAGTAACGAAGAATGAACAACTATCTGCTTTGTCTTCATCTTCTTCTTCTGTGTTCGCTTAGACTTAGATCCGCTTGCTCCAGCACGGAGCACTCTGCATGGAACAGTTCATCGTTACTCTCATATTACTCCCGTGGCAGCTCCTCTACATTCTGGCCTGTGACTTCCTGGACCTTATTCTTACTCAAATCAGGTCGGTTCCCTAAGCAGTCATAAACAACGAACCTCTCATTCCCGTATATCCTCGGATAAATCTGGCGGATAACTTCAACCATCGGGATGTGGGCGCGAACTGCACTCACCCGACGGGCCAATCTCCGCATCCACGAACTATAAAACACCAACTATTCCATATGATGAATATACAAAGACCCAACGAAACATACTCACTCCCTCAGACAGTATACAAGAAATCGCACAACCAAAATGACCTCTCCCTCCTACTCTGACCACTTCTCCATCCACAATCTCCCCTACGGCATTGCCTCCTCTCCCTCCCATCCCACCCCCCAATGCGCAACCCGCCTCAACAACACCGTCATCTTCCTCTCCGACCTCCAATCCGCAGGCCTCTTTTCCTCCATTACGTCTCTCCCCGACAACATCTTCTCCAACACCACTCTTAACCCCTTCTCCTCCCTCCCCCGAACTACGCAAACCCAAGTCCGCCATGTCCTGCAATCCATCCTCCAGACCTCCACCTCCTCCCTTCCCGAATCCAGCACCGCAGACATCACCACCGTAACCATGCATCTCCCCGTCTCTATACCTTCTTTTACCGGTACGCCCCTCCCCCAACTCACCCCAATTCCTACTCCTCAACAACCCCCACTAACAAAAACACATAAAATAAACAGACTACAGCGCCAGCCTCCCCCACAACCAGCACGCGGGGCAAATCATCCTCAACCACCCGGCCCCGCCCCCCGCATTCTTCCACTTCCCCATCGGCTACGCCGGTCGCGCCAGCACCATCTCCGTCTCCGGCGCCCCCGTCACTAGACCCTCGGGGCACTTCTACGACCGAACCGATCCCTCATTCCTGCAAACAAAGAAAGTTATCTTCGGCCCATGTCGCGCCCTAGACTACGAGCTCGAATTGGGGATCGTCATTGGGAAGCCCCTCCCTCGCGGACAGGGCCTCAAGGCCCAGGATGCGGAGGAGCATATCTTTGGCTTGGTGGTTTTGAATGATTGGAGTGGTGAGCATTCCCTTCCTACCTCGCCCTAAACAGTTGCTTTCTATACCCAACCAAGAGAGACATCAAACATGAACACAATCCCAATGACTAATGATATAATGGGAAAAGCCCGCGACATCCAAGGCCTCGAAATGATCCCGCTCGGCCCACTAAACGGGAAGAACTTCGCGACCACGATCTCCCCGTGGATCGTCACCCTGGATGCATTGCAGCCGTTCAAGACACCAGGTCCGGAGCCGAGAGTTGCCCTACCGGCTCATTTACAGGATCCGGGTAAGTTTAATTATGATATTAGTGTTGTGACTGAGCTTGAAGCTGGTACGGGTGGTAGTAGTACTGTGCTGGGACGTGGTAACGCAAAGGACCTCTTCTGGAGCATCAGGCAGATGTGTGCGCATTTGGCGAGTACAGGGTGTGATTTGCGCACGGGGGATATTTTGGGCACGGGGACGGTGAGTGGGGAGGAAGAAGGGTCGTATGGGTGTCTATTGGAGGTGACGGAGGGGGGAAAGAAGAGGGTGAAGTTGGGAGAGGAAGAGAGAGGTTATCTTGTTGATGGGGATGTGGTGAGGTTGACGGCTTGGGCTGGGGAGGGGGTTGGGTTTGGGGAGTGTGTGGGGCAGATTCTGCCTGCGAGGGATTGAATGGATATTCCATTGGTTTACTGGGTTGAATGTTGAAGTTGGAAAGCAAAGTCTGTGGGTGAATAATTCTGGAATATATGATACTAGGAACTAAAGTCAATACATGTCCCATTTTCATGCGCCGGCCGTGCCATCCCAGCCAACCAACCCCCTTTACCGATGCATATATTAGACGCCTAAATAATCAATCAAAAGTACAACCTATGTTGGCATCGTTCAGCTCCAGAGCGGTGGGTGGATGTACTCTTGTGCTCTGTCAAGAATATTAGGTATCGTCCACTCGCCGCTGGTCGAGCTTTCCGGCGTGGGCGGCGGCAAAGATCCGAGACTCGGCGTCATGCTGGCCGACACAGGCGGAACACCCATGCCCGGGTTGAGGTAATTCGGCGATCCGGCTTGGCTGGCACGAGCCGCCTGCGCATTGAATGCGCCTTCCAACTTCTCCAAAGCACGAAGGGTCTTTGTCAAGGGCTTGGCCCATTGAGTCTGCGTGTCGACGGCCACAGCGGCGGAGGCTGGAGAAGCTGAGTTCATACCCGCAGGGCTGGGTGCTGCGGTACTTGGGGGTCGTGGGGCTGCACCGAGACGCGCGCCGCTGTCAACTGGTGGAACGGCGGCGGCTTCGGTGGCGGCCCCGTAGTCGCCCTCGATGTTGGCTCGTTCGGCGATGATCATTTTGAGTTGTTGCAGGAGAGTCCAGAACCGAGAATGTCCCTTGACCTCCTCTGTGACTGCCAGCAGGAAGATCGAGCTGATGGCGCGTTGCAGGGCAATCCATGACCGTGACGCGTGGGAACTGACGGTGTGCATCTCGACATAGGCTTCCACGGTAGTCATCAGGTTGGTCACACAGTCGGTGCGCATGCTGGATAAGGCGGGGTCACTAATGTCGGCGTTTGCTTTGAGCGCTGGCCGGCAGAGCTCAGAAGAAAAGTAGGACGAGTGCAGCTTGAGCACGACCCGTTCGAGGTGTTCGGTTGCTGAGAGGCAGTATTTACGGTCCCGAAGATGTGGTTTCGCCTCTATCATAATCTGCTGGATCCGTTCTTTGTAGGTTTGGATCGTTTTGTAACTCAGTTGCGAGTGCGGGCTCAACATCCGGCTGCGGACCACCTCCAATGCTAGAGATATAATACGACACAGTGTCTCGAAGTATGAGAGCTCGCCGGGCTTCCGGTCTTCTTTATAAGCAATTTCTGGCTGACTCACGGCTGTTGTCGACGGCCGATCGTAAGAAAGGGAGAAGTGACTATCCTGCCATGCCATGGACCACCTAGACGTTATTAGCAGCTGCCACTGTAATGCAGTCAAGAAACTTACCACACGTGGCGTCTGCGATATCGCTCGGCTGCAGTGAAATGACCGGACTCCACATGCAAGCCAAGCGCCAGCCCCATTCGAAGGGTCATACCAAGGAGGACATACGATATCCCGGGGTTCATGTTGTACGATAGAACGTTCCCAATCACAAGCAGCGTCTGCATGGCGTCTATTGTGGGTTGGGACAGGAAGTTGGTCATTCGAAGACATTGATAGGAACAGCATACTGCACCGGATGAGTACTTGCAATATGCCACGGAGCATACAGAACTTACCGTATACTTGAGACGTAAGCTCTCTTTCTTTGCCTGGCAGATCCGACGATTGGCACCCAGAAGCAAGAACTGCAAACAGCAAGCCCATATAGGCAATAGTGACACCAAAAGGTTTCTGGGCTTGATCGGCATCTGCCCGATACATACCACCCATGGCAGCTCTATTCCGCAGCATAAGATCAAGGTTCATCTCGAATTGCGGGACGTCTTCCAGCACCGGGTATATGGCGCCTGCGATATCCCGGTAATAGTAGAAAAACCTGTAGCAACCCTTAGTTAACACCACTACACTACCAAATCAGCTGTCGGTAAATACTAACTCTTTGCACTGTTGGTCACTCGGCAGTGCACTGCAGACGGCACTTATATCGAATGAAGACATATCTGATGACCACAGGTCGACGAACGGATACGTCGCAGATTCATTATCCAATCCCAGCTTTGGCAGAATCCCGCCCTCTAGGAGCGCTTGGAGCTGATCCGACCCCGACTTATTGTTCAAGATGTAGGCCAGAACAGACCTAGATCCCAGGTGTACAGTGCCTTCGCCAAATGTATTTGGCGCATGTATACCCTCTCGCTCCGGGGAGGCACCCTTGGATCGGGTACTCGCATCCCCGCTCCGCACGCTGCTCGTCTCCAACGTCGAAGCCTGCCCTTCCTCGGCCTTTTCCAGACCAACCCGCAGGTTATTTATTGTTTGCTCCATCTCTTTCAATCTCGTGCGAACATTGTCCCATTCCTCGCGCGCAATCGACACACGGCCGCCGGCTGCTGTTATACTTGGCCGACTCACACCCGGTTCTTGTTTCAGACGCACGGGAGGCTCGGGCACGTATCCGAGATTCTCTGCGCTCGTGGGCTGACTACCAGGGATAGATCCGTCGGGATACGTTTGCGGAAGCGAGCCGGTCATGACGCGCTTTTTCGACGGACGCTCGTAGGAACAAAGATCGGCATGATCGCGTTTGACACAACCGTCGCATGGTAGGTTTCGATCGCATTTGACTTTGCGGGCGTGACACGGGTAGCAGGCTTTAGGTTCGCGGGCCTTTCGCTTCGTTCGGATGATTGCGTCAACTTGAGATTGGGGCAGGTCGGAAACCGGTCTGGACGAAGCAGTTGAAGGACCTGAAGGTGCTGTCATGTCGGGGCCGGCTACAGACGGCGAGTACGACATGGAGGGCTGGTACGGGGAAGTCATTGCGTAGTTTCGTGAAAGAAATATGATAAAAGAGAGACTCGGTATGAGGTATGATCGGCGACTTCTAGATTAATGAGTGCGTATTGCTGATATACTGATGCTTTCCCACATGAACGTAGCGGAGTCGAGCGGGAGAAAAGAATGCGGCGTGGCACTGGTTGTAGGTTGCGGGCTTCACATCGATAGTGAATACTATATAGATCAGTCCATTGGCAGCAGATTTGAAATGGCAATTCAGATGAGCGAGGTTCGCATCATCTCGCAGCAAGAATATCACCGCGAGAGCTGGGCGCAAAGACGAAATGCTGAAGACGGACTTGGCCGAGCACCGGCCCCGTCCAGCATCCCATGACTAATCACGGACCAAGATCACGTGCTCAAGAGGGGAAGCTTGGCGGTGCCCTAAGCCCTATCTAGACTATCAAGGCAGGTGACGTAAGGCAGTGGCTGGTAACTATGAATCCTAACCAACGGGACAACATTCCAGAGTGAACCTCTAGCTATATCCTGCGATATCTCACAGATACCATAATAAGTCTAATGACGTGGTCAATGGACAACCAAGCTAATCTATTGATGGACATTGTTCTAACGGGGTCGAAGACTCTGAAGGATTGTAAGTAGATCCTTCCGTCACCTGGCCAGTTGCACGCTTAATGACAAAGAAAGTAAAACAGCTTGACGATGATCACTTGTGATCGTTATCCTTAGCTTTCCTCCCAGGCATATGAATACGTCGCTGAGCTGTTATCTGGTACACCGGGCGTCGAACTCCAAAAGTACGTTGCGGCCAACGGATTACCCACAGCTTCGACAATTGGAAATAGTGTAAAGTTATGCCTTGGGTCATGCTCCTCTAACAGCCCATCCATCACCTCCTGCGATGGGGCATATTCATGCGGCTGATCAAACAGGAATATCGTAAAGTCGTGCACTCTGCTTGTTGCGGGCTGAGCAGGGTGATACGACGCCAAAGCATTGCTTGAATTGACAAATTTCCCATCTTGCAGTGTGTAATCCCATCCCCACCAGTGCAGACGGGTCGTTGTATTGACCAAGCGACCGCATACAAGACTTGCGTATTGGTCCAGCGAAGCGAAAGCCGAATCAGCGACGTCGTAATCCACCATTATGAGCATGTATGTTCCTGGGTAGGAGCCCGTGGCATAGCCGGGATACACGGTCGGGTATGTAGTATCTATTTCGCACGAAATTAGCATGCTAGAGAAAAACAATGCTGTGACTTCGCTTTGCTGAGACGAATAAGCGCTGGGCCTGGCGGGAGCTACATACCGTTAGGAAGAATCCAGGTCCCTGGAGTTATGATAATATCTCCAAACGATACTCCTAGGTTGGTCTTAGTCTGTGGCCAGACGCCTGTTGCTGTCTGCGCCACGGCAGCACCTGCAGAAATGGATAGCGAGAATAGTGTAGTTGTGCGCATGGCGAGATGTCAATAAGCATAGACGTCGTTGCTGCACGTTCGAGCATGTCACGGTGTGCCTATAGACCGTGACTTGCAGAAAAGTGATCTGAAAGCAGATTGCAACTACCGAGCAATGCCTTTAAATTGTGCTGGGCCGCGATGTAACTTACTGGTCTCGAAGTGTCCACATAGTTGCTGTAGTAGTTGTAGACTATGGGTCGCCGGATCGGGTAATCCGTCAACGGCTTGGAGGCTTGACGGCAATGGGATTCGTGTATGTAACATTCTCGGCAAATCTGAGACACTATTTAGGTACAAGTACCCCAATTTGATATAGACTTGCAAGTTTCATGTTAGAAAGTGTGTAATAATCTGACCCAATTTCTATTCGATACATGAGTTATAGTTAGAGAATCTATTAATAAATACATTATGTGCATATAAATCTTTGGTATCAATAACGCATCAGTCTTTCCAGCATTTGGCAGGGTTCAAGAGCGGAGATTAGTTCGAGTGTGTGATAGGAGATAGCTTGTTGGTGTTAAAAAGTTCCAGATGATCAATATCTTCATACGGTCATCTGTACAAATGCTTAGCTCTTCTCACCATTCTCTTCGTCGTCGCTGAAGGCATAACGCGAAAATCGTCGAATGGATGCCCCCTTGAAGTAGAAGACATACGGGATCGCGCAGCAAGCTAGGGCAATGAAAGCGAGCAACGAGCTTGCCCATTGGTACCCAAGGCGATCGTACATCTGCTCAGTAAAGAGTACAGTAGATGCACCCCACATTGAACGAAGGAATGTCTTTGCGGCAAGTGCAGAAGCGGCTTGATGCTGATACGTATCCACTAGAACAATGTCAGCGGAAACGCCAATGACCTATAAAATGAACATACCCAGATAGTTGTTGGCTGAATTATACAAGAAGATGAAGCCAAATCCAACAGGCCAACCTCCAATTGCAGGTCCAATCCAATGGATAGTGGGATATGAGGTCCAAGCGAAAATGAATAGACCGATGGGTATAAACCAACAAGAAGCCATCATCGGAATCAATCGAGCTTCAGCTGGGGGCTTTCCTCCGTACTTAGCATAAAGAGATAGGTAGTGTTTATTGACAAAAGGCGCACAGGCCGCACTCATAAGTACGCCAATGGCGAGTGGGATGAACATTAGGCCGGTCGAGCCGGCACTCCATCCTTTCCCAGATTGATATACCACAGGATAGCTGACACTGCAGTTAGCAAGATAGTAATAGTATCAGATAGCACACCACTTACGCAACGAAGAACATGTATAGTAAACCGTATAGAACCGACATGTAAAGCGCGATGAACAGAACAATTGGTTCCAGAAACAAAAGCTGGAACGGGCGGAAGAGGAAAACTCGCAACTTCTCGCCCATAGGTCGAGAATCTAGTTCCGTTTCTGTTACGTAGCTAGGGTCGTCTTCTTGCTTTCTCAGTTTCTTCGCTCTCCTCTTAAGGAGAGTTGGCGCATACGTCTCCGGAACCGTGAAAGTGATCAGCACCCAAGCAACAAATGCCAGGATCAACTGCAACCAGTAAAGCCATTTCCAGTTAGTAGCATCTGCAAGAAATCCACCAGCTAGTGGTCCAATAGCAGGCCCAATAAATGGGCTGGCTGAGAATGCTGCCATTGGAACGCCTCGTTCTTCATTTTTCCAAAGATCCGCCAAAGTACCACCCACTAGCGTCATTGGAGCACTGAATGCGATCCCATCAATGGCTCTGCAGACGATGAGGGTTCCAATATTTGGAGCGACGGCGCAGGGAATAATGAATATGACAGCTAAGAAAAGTGTGGATGCGTATATAATCCGCCGGCCCACCATTTCAGACAGGGGAGCAAAAGCCATGGGACCTGAGCGCAGTCAGTGACCATATCAAAGCAAAATTACTAAGATGACTTACCAACACCAAAGCCGATGACAAAAACAGTAACAGCAACAAGGCTAACTTCTCGAGAAACGCCGAACTGTTCTGCAGGGCCTTCAATATCGGCTGTGATGACGCTACTAGCAAAAGCGACGACAAAGCATGTGAACGAAACCACCATGGTACAATACCATTTGAAGGCTTTGGACCAATTCTTCGGATTTTCGGGATCGTCGATACTGAAGGTTACCAGCTTCCAGTCTTCAGTTTTCCCTGTAGCAGCGGACCGGACTGGCTTGATGATCTCTCCAGTGGTGGTTTCCGTCGTGTATTCCTCCATGTTGGCGTTCTCGGTCACCTGACGGTAAGGGAGATCCAAAGGATCAACCTGACCTTGAGTAGGATCGGCTGTGAGGACTCGGGAGACATGGTTGCTTGGATAGTTGGAGCGGTATGTTTCCTCCATATCTTGAGCGGTCGTCGTGCAGTGTAAGGCAGACACCCGTGCAATGATTACTATCGTTTAAGTAGTGCATGAAAACCCTTATAGCCACGCGAGGCCTCTGCTTGCTTATATAGACAGTCATGTCTGCTATGATCGCCGGTCAATTGAAGGTTCTAGTTCGGTCGTATACGAGGTAAAAGCGTGTCCAAGGATGATAGGAGATTTATTTCCTGAAAGGGCAGTATATCGGGCCGGCCAGCAGATATCTTACTCTATCAGGAAGTTAGAGAGCTAGCCAGATCAGGTAATATGCCACGAGAGTATAACTACTACATCACAGCTTCTACTTATTGCCTACAGGAAAAGGTTTATCAGACTCCTTTCAAAGTATGTTGATGCAAGTCCGTGGACAATGGCAGAGCATATATTTTTATAGAGGTAATGTGTGTTAATATCACTACTTTCTCAAAAAAAAGCTTTCGCTTGTGAGGCACGCCGTCTCAGCAGAAACAGACCTTCATGGAAAGTAGACGGAAAGAAGGCATATTTCTCCCGTGAAAAGGTGAATCATGGCTAAGACGCCACGCAGCATTGCGTGGCTTTCATCCTCTATCCAAAGCGCTGCGGTCAGAGTCGGCCACTTCCATTTGCAAATGGAAAGAAATTTCCGCTGCCAAGCTGCAAAGCCAAGGATTAGAGAGCATTGCTGTTACTTGAAGAATAGAAATTCCGCCAGCACCCCGGAATGGCGCCGTCGGAACATGTTTCCCAACTAGGAAAATCTCCCTTATATGGAGACAATCCGTTTGTAATGGAAAAGGCGAGCCAGAACAGATTTGTGGAGTCCATGACTCTAGACCAGATTGTGCTTGCTTTCTTTATCGGATCGTAAGGTTCAATATTTGCATCTCATTGGGCCAACAGAAATTGATTCCTTTGCACACAGCGAACAGTATCGAGAATGGACCTTTACCACAACACCAGCGGGTACTATCAACCACTCAACAACGCCCACCAGGAGGTAATTCTGAGCTATGACCCAGCTTATCTCCGTTTATTTGATTAATTCAATTGTCTGGAGCGATGCATGTTTAAACTTAATGATGGAGTCTTTGTAGCCAGCGTTTTCCGAAAGCTTTGGTGTAGTGTGCACAGTGAACTTCAGAACTCAAGATCTACTCCTCTCCTCATAAAAAATTCCTACATTGAGCAGCATGTAACTCATATTGGTGAGCTAACCATTCAATAATACCCACACAAGCTAATGTGTGGCGAATGTTAAGAATGTCATCAACAATTACCTGCCAGCCTGAGGCAGAAGCCTGCAGTTTTCCGGGGAAAAAGGCTGTGCACGTGAGCGATAAGGAGGCGATAAGCCGGAAGCGGATTAGCGCGGGGTGGTTTTTCCCACCCGCAACCGTGGAGGAGAATAATTTTGTGACTCGACGAGCAGCTCAACGCCCGTCGCTGTGCTCCTCAGTCAGTCGAACTCGCACGCGAGAGGTGTGTCTGTGACACCTTCACCCAGGGGACTACATTGTTCCCCTTCTTTACCTAAAAAGCTACATTTCGTTCTATCCTCCCTACCTTTTCCCTAAATTCCGCACCGACCGAATACCCACAACTTTCACAATGGCCTCCGACTCCACCTACTTGGCCATCCCTGGCTCTGTTGCCTTCTCCCGTTCTCGTGGGCGTGCAATTGCTGCCAGCATTGGTGCACAGGATGTCCGTGCCCAATGGGTTCACTACGTTTACCTCTCCCAGCCGCTGGACGCCCCCCAACAAGGTGTCTTGGAACAGCTCCTTCACTATGGCGATATCACCGACGTCCCGCCCTCGTTCAGCGCTGAAGATGGTCCTTCCGATGTCTTCCACATCTTCCCTCGCACTGGTACGATCTCCCCTTGGAGCTCTCAGGCTACCGGTATCTCCCACGTTTGTGGCCTGCGCAAATACGTCAACCGCATTGAGCGGGGTATGAAGATCTCCTGTCTGCGCGCAGGCTCTGGCGAGTACAAGTCGGGATACCAGGATATCTTGCACGATCGGATGACACAGGTCATCAGCGAGGAAGAACCTGACTTGCACCTGATGTTCTCCGAGCACAGCCGTCTGCCTCTCGAGACGATTCCTCTGCACGGAAGTGGCAAATCTCCCAAGGAGGTCCTGCAGGAGGCAAACAAGCGGCTTGGATTGGCTCTTGAAGAATCCGAGATCGATTACCTGGCTGAAGCCTATGGTCCCAACGGCCCTATTGCTCGCGATCCGACCGATGTCGAGCTGTTCATGTTTGCTCAGGTCAACTCCGAGCATTGCCGTCATAAGCAGTTCAACGCATCGTGGGTCATCGATGGAAAGCAAATGCCCAACAGTCTGTTTGCCATGATCCGCAACACCCACAAGAAGCACCCAGAGTATACTGTTAGTGCCTATAGCGACAACGCTGCTGTCCTTGAAGGAGACGAATCCGCTTTCTGGGCTCCCAACTCGGCCACCGGTGAATGGAACCACACTAAGGAACTTGTTCATTTCCTGGCTAAAGTCGAAACACACAACCACCCCACGGCTGTTTCCCCCTACCCCGGTGCTGCCACCGGATCTGGTGGTGAGATTCGTGATGAAGGTGCTGTGGGCCGGGGTTCGAAGCCCAAGGCTGGTCTCGCTGGTTACTGCGTTTCCGATCTCCTCATCCCGGATCTGAAGCAACCTTGGGAGCTCGATGTTGGCAAGCCAAACCACATCGCAAGCAGCTTGGATATCATGCTTGAGGCACCCATTGGCAGTGCCCACTACAACAACGAGTTCGGACGGCCCTGCATCGCCGGTTACTTCCGTACCCTCTTGACTGAGATTGACGTGGGTAACGGCCAGACCGAGCTCCGCGGATACCACAAGCCTATCATGATTGCCGGTGGTGTCGGAACCGTTAGACCCAACCATGCCATCAAGAAGCCCGAGGTTGTCAAGCCTGGAGCCTTCCTTGTGGTGTTGGGTGGACCTGCCATGCTGATTGGTCTCGGTGGTGGTGCTGCCTCTAGTATTACTTCTGGTGAAGGGTCTGCCGATCTTGACTTTGCCAGTGTCCAGAGAGGCAACGCTGAAGTTCAGCGCAGAGCTCAGGAAGTGATCAACGCATGCACGGCCATGGGTGACAACAACCCCATCAAGTTCATTCATGATGTTGGTGCTGGAGGTCTCTCCAATGCTCTTCCTGAACTGATCCACGACTCTGGTCTGGGAGCCACTTTCGAACTTCGTGAGGTGGACAGTGCCGACAAGAGCATGAGCCCTATGCAGATTTGGTGCTGCGAAGCTCAGGAGAGATATGTCCTGGCCGTTGGCGAGGAGAGCATGAACAAGTTCACTGCTATTGCTCACCGCGAACGTTGCGGTTTCTCCGTCGTCGGCCGTGGAGGTGGCACGTCGGAGGAAGAGAAGAGACTTATTCTTCTGGATAGGGACTCCACCGAGTACCCTAGGCCCATTGACCTGCCTCTCTCTGTCCTCTTCGGAAAGCCTCCCAAGATGACTAGGGTTGTGGATTCTCGCAAGTTGAAGCTGCCAGCTGTGGATGCCAGCCTCACCACGTATCTCCCATCGATGGCCTCGAACAACCTCGAACTCATCGGTGAAGCCGCGAACAGGGTCCTGTCTCTCCCCGCCGTTGGCTCTAAGTCTTTCCTCATCACTATTGGTGACAGGACAGTTGGTGGTCTCACTGCCCGCGACCAGATGGTTGGCCGGTGGCAGACTCCTGTTTCCGACGTTGCTGTCACTGCCACGGCGTTGGTTCAAGGTGTTAAGACCGGTGAGGCCATGGCCATGGGTGAGAAGCCCAGTCTTGCTTTGATCTCCCCTGCGGCTTCCGCACGCATGGCGGTCGCAGAATCTCTTATGAACATTGCTGCCGCTGATCTGGTCGACCGCCTGAGCCGTGTGAAGCTTTCCGCCAACTGGATGTCGGCTAGCAACCATCCAGGCGAGGGTGCTGCCATCTATGAGGCTGTTGAGGCCATTGGTATGGACCTCTGCCCCAAGCTTGGCATCAGTATCCCTGTTGGAAAGGATTCTATGTCCATGAAGATGAAGTGGAAGGATGAGGCTTCTCAGGAAGCCAAGGAGGTTACTGCTCCCATGTCTCTGGTCATCTCTGCCTTTGCCCCTGTTGGCAACTTCCGAAAGACCTGGACCCCTGCCCTTCGTCGTCCCGAGGAGGTTGGCGAATCTGTTCTCATGTTCGTCGATCTTTCTTTCGGTCGGAAGACTCTGGGTGGTTCTGCTCTTGCTCAAGTCTTTAAGCAGGTCGGTGACGAATGCCCTGACGTGCGTGATGTTGAGATCTTCAAGGACTTCTTCGATGCTACGCAGTCTCTGCAAGACGCTGGTATCGTTCTGGCCTACCACGATCGCTCCGACGGTGGTCTCTTCACAACTCTTGCGGAGATGATGTTCGCTGGACGCTGCGGTGTTGAGATCATGCTCGACAACATCTGCTCCAGCTCCAGCACCAAGGATGTTGTGGAGACCCTCTTCACCGAGGAACTGGGTGCCGTGTTCCAGGTCCGCAAGGAGCACGAAATTCAGTTCCGCTCTTGCTTTGCCACCTGCGGTCCCCCTGCTGGTCTGATCCACAAGATTGGACGTGTCTCCGAGAAGGCGAAGACAAACCTTACTATTTACCACAAGCACACCCTGGTGTACCGCAACAGCCGCGCCAACCTCCAGAAAACCTGGGCCACCACTTCCTACAACATGCAGAAGATCCGTGACAACGCTGCTTGCGCCGACCAGGAGTTTGCCAGCATTGCCGACGATGCCGACCCGGGTCTGTCCTGGAACCTGACCTTCGACCCGAAGGACAAGGCCATGCCTTTCATGACCAGCCTGACTCAAATGTCACCCTTCAGCAACAAACCCCGTGTTGCCATTCTCCGTGAGCAGGGTGTCAACAGTCAAGCAGAGATGGCGTTTGCTTTCAGCAATGCTGGCTTCTCTGCCGTTGACGTTCACATGACCGACATCATCTCCGGCCGTGTATCCCTCGCTAGCTTCGTTGGTCTCGCCGCCTGTGGTGGTTTTTCGTACGGTGATGTTCTCGGTGCCGGTCAGGGTTGGGCCAAGTCCGTCCTGCTGCATGAGAACACCCGCAACGAATTCAAGTCCTTCTTCCAGCGTCCTGACACTTTTGCTCTTGGTGTCTGCAATGGTTGCCAGTTCCTTTCTCGTCTTAAGGATCTGATCCCTGGCGCTCAGAACTGGCCCAGCTTCGAGCGGAACGCCAGCGAACAGTACGAAGGTCGTGTCTGCATGGTCCGCGTCTCCGACCCCAATCCTTCCCGCCCCAGTGTCTTCCTGCACGGCATGAACGGCTCCTCTCTCCCCATCGCCGTCGCCCACGGTGAGGGTCGCGCCTCGTTCGCTCCCGCTTCCGGCACCACCCCTCAGTCGTTCGTCAACGATGGCGGTGCTGTCGTCCAGTATGTCGACACTGCTACCCTCAAGCCGACCATGAAGTACCCTGCCAACCCCAACGGCAGTCCCGAGGGTATTGCGGGTATCCGCAACGCTGACGGTCGTGTCTTGGCTATCATGCCTCACCCCGAGCGTACTGTTCTGGGTGGTATTGCCAGCTACCTGCCTACCAAGGCTGAAGAGTGGGGTGACATCGGTCCTTGGGGCCGTGTCTTCTACAGCGCCAGAAGATGGGTTGGTTAAAAGGGTAGCATATAAGTTACTCCTTGCCACTTTTTTGTTTCGTTACTACCTATCTCAAAATTGGGGATCATTTTGTCCGCTGTCTATTACATGAGTGTCGAGAAAATGTGCGGTGCATGTTATTGGCCTTTACGATATAAATTATACTATGAACATTTTATTTTCCATCTTAAACTCTTGATGCATTTACGATGATATGTTGTGAAATAATCTCTTTTTACCTACCTTGCAAATACTCTACATAGGAAATAGGAACCAGAATGTGATCTTTTCAATGAATCACGTGGGGCTTATATCGTGGGGATTCGACCCTCTTCAGTCATGCCGTATTTACTCGCGACTAGATTGTCTCAGATTACTATGGTGCAATCTATATGTCTCTGCTGTAAAATTGGATTCAAAAAAACCATGTAGTAAGTGTGTCGATATAATGGAGAGACATTTCAATTTCCGGGTATCATACACCTAACCTAGCCAATTCCCAAACTCCTCTTACAAGAAGAGATTACAGTATAAGACTCTGCTGCTGTCCACTTGCCTTCCTCCACTCGAGCTTCTCGGCCAATATCTCCCAACTAAGTTGGCCATCGACACGCCCTACACCCCTTAGACCAGCCACAATGAACGCTAATAGACGATTGAACTGGTCTTTGATATCTCGTACTCGTTGCATGTAGTGCGTTTCGTGAAACGAGGCAGCGAGGTTATCTTCGTCTAAGTCGGAGTCATCGTCATCATCCTCATCGCTTGGGTCATCCAGGTCAGGTTCAGAGCGCTGTGCGTTCTTACGATGCATAGATTTTGCGCTCTTGGTGGCGGTGCGCGCGTGATCGAGGCTATGGTCACCATAGCGTGAGTTTTGAATGTCTGCAAAGCTGACGCAGAGGTCAAGGATTGTGATGATAGCTTGGTGAAGAGCATTCAGGTTGGTGGATAAAAGGCATTGTTCCTCCAAGGAGTGCATGAATGAGCGATGCGCCGCTACCATGGCATCCACGTCGGCAGAAGCAGAAAGGTCCCTGCGCAAGGACTTCGTCGCTGCGGAGATGACAAAATCAGTCATATGGCTGTAGATTGCGTTGAGAAACCAGAGCATGTTGTGTCTGAGAGCATAGCTCAGCGTGTTGTTCCTTGAATCTTGAATTTTGTCAGATTGGTTGTTGTGTTGCAAGCGCTGCTTTACTATCGTTTGCTTTGCTCTGCGGAGTTGCATAAGGAAAGTGGAGATGCGTTGGTATCCCAAAAGAGTGTCTTTCGTGATTATATTGGCTACAGACCAGGGTAAGATGTAGTCGAATGATATGGCGTCTAGCACCTTGACTGAGCGGCTGCGGCTTACTGCATTGCTGTGTGCTTCCTTGGGTGTTCGAACGAGAAGCCGGGAAGGGTCGATGAATGGCAAAGCACCGAAGGCGCTTTGAGCCACTTCAGTAAGCAGGAATCGATCACTCCAAGCACCTTTCCCTCTGTCCATGAGGTCGAATATCTTGCTGTCAATCGGTCCGAAAATGCTCATATCTTTGCCGAGATAGATATACTCCAGTGCTTGAAGGGATGCCCACAAACCACATTGCTGGCCAAGCTCCGTCCTTAACAAAGCCGAAGTGTAGGCATGGTTTTCATCAACTAATTTTCCGAATGAAGACTCGAGTAGAACGGAGAACGGAAGGCAGAACGCCGATGAGTCTGGCGGTAAAACTTCGTCCAGTGTTAAGGAGACCTTCCGTGGAGTCTCATCGTCCTCAGACGTATTCAGATGTCTCAGAAAAACCATGCTTTTGCCTGTTATGAAGATCTTGGACGCAAAAGGTTGGATAAACTTCGGGGAATTCGGGAGTATCGCATCCAATGAGTACCAATCATGCCATAGCGTTCGCAGATCACTGTCACTTTGACTGTTGCGTATGAAAAATCCAGCTGCAGATTCATCCAACTGGCCTTTCTCCATCCACATACGGACGGGATGTGCATAGGTTTCGAAGCATGAGAAGAACAACTTGGCAAGGGCCTTAAATAAGCCATCATCACCAGCAGCTTGTGTCAGGCACACGAGATCATAAAGTGAGTCGAGACACTGCGTAGCGGTATTTGAAGTATTTGAAGTGTTTGGCATCAAGCTAGACACCAGGTCAGACAACAGCAAAGGCAGTCTGGACTCCCGATAAACATCTTCTGAGAGCTGCAGAAGACTGATGGACACGATTGATGTCTGAGCAAGGTACTGGTGTTGCACATTAGATAGAAACAAATCGAACTCTCTAAGACAGCTCTCCAAGCCCCGATGAAACGTTTGCATATAAGGGATCTCCTGTGGAGTGTTGCAAAACTGCCTAAGGATATCCAGTTTAGCTCCTGTCGAGCTCAGTGATCGCAGTAATGAAACGAATGCCTCATTCGACAGGTCTGCAATGGTATATCTTCGATGTATTTCAACATTACCATCGAATCGCCAGAACAGAGACGTAGGTAGACCTTGCAACATGAATACAGTCTCCCTTACTACCTGAAGCTCAGTAATAATTTTAGAAGCAGGGCCAGCTTTTTCAGTGGCCGAGCTCTCTTCATTTCTCCAAAATTGTGCATTAGCAATCGATTCAATGAATTCGTCGTTCTCTCCAGATGTGAAGACTTCGTCAGGAATCATGTAGTCTTCCTCTGTTGTGACAGACGTTTCTGGTTGACTGCGCGTATGGTAGCTGTCAGTGGAGACCGATGCAAGGTCCTCATCAGAGGAATCAGCACCATAATCTACATCTTCCCAAATATCCTCGCCACAGTATGCCGATCCAGCGGCGTCCAATTCATCCCAGACAAGCGATTTCGCTTCCTCTCTGGGCTTTGCTGCCACCACCTGGTCTACCCTAGACCGCTGAGCAGGGCGGTCTGCCAGCTGCAGAAGTAATGAGAGTATTTCGGGGAACCATGAGCTTTGGTGCTCTTGCAGCTCCGTTAGTCGGATACGCAAAGCATCAGCCAATTCATCCCTACAAAGGACTTGGAATTTCTCCTGCAGTCCTTCAAGTTGGCTGGCGACGGCGAATTGATCCGTGCGCGCATAAGCATGCGACTTGAAAGTGTCTTCAGTCCGACGTTTTAAGTTCCTGAAATGTGGAGTGTCCTGGACAGGAGCGTCAGCATGAGATCTGCTTTACATTAAGGGCTTGAGTGCAATGCCTTTCTATCGGGCTTCGCAACGGCTATGATTAGCTCGTCTGTCAGCGCGCTCACATTGGCTGCAACGGCCATGATAGGCCATGGAGCAAGCGACAATTGCGGAAACTACTGAGAGGGGACTAGATAGATCGAACACACAAAGTCTCCATTATTATTGCTGGTGCCAGGAGGTGGTTACGCGGCGTGGGCGGCAGATCGGAGACAACTAATGGCTGACGACTTGCCATCTTGGGCATGTGGTCACGCTAGGCCCGATGGGGGAAGGCGGCAAAGAATGCAGAGTCGCGGCGGCGGCGATAGCAACTCAACTCGGCCCAGCCAAGTAGACTCCAAGTCTCCCTCATCGGTCTCGCCAGCTCTCCTGTCGCTCCTTTTCCTGCCATCTCGTCCTCCGGGGTTCGCTGACAGGCAAGATGGCTGTCGCAAGGCCCATTCGCATGCTCGGTGCCTCGTGCATCATCCTCATCCTCTTCCTGATCTTCCAGATGAACAAAACGCCCATCTCCATTAGTAAGGGGCCATACGCAACACAGCCGTATGAGGGCATAACTTCAGACCCTCTCAAAGAGCGTACGCTACCCCAACGTCATTCTCTTGCCCTCTTTCGCATCCTTTTTATTACCTCTGCTAAATTACTTTCTCCTTTTCACAGCAACTGGGGAACCCACAGGCCACTTATGGCGTGCGACAGATGGCGATTATTCTCCCGACAGCACCGACTCCCCTCGGGCCAACGCGGCACTGATCTCTCTCGTCCGTAACGAGGAGCTGAACGAGCTGATTCCCTCTATGCGTGATCTCGAGCGCACCTGGAACAGCAAGTTCAACTACCCCTGGATCTTCTTCAACGATGTGCCGTTCACTGAGGAATTCAAGAAGCGCACACAGGCGGAAACCAAGGCGAAATGCTACTACGGTAATTAGACACGAACTCAACCCGGACTGACTTTGATTTCTAACGTTTTTCTGCAGAGCTGGTTCCCAAGGAGCACTGGGATGTCCCCGAGTGGATTAATTGGGATCTCTTCAAGGAGTCGGCGCAGATCCTGAAGGAGAAGAATATCCAATATAGTGACAAGGTCTCCTACCACCAGATGTGCCGCTGGAATAGTGGCCTGTTCTACAAGCACCCCGCTCTCGCCAAATACCGTTACTACTGGCGAGTCGAGCCCAAGGTCAAGTTCTTCTGTGACGTGGACTACGACATTTTCCGTTACATGGCCGACTACAATATCACATACGGTTTCACCATCAATCTTTTCGACGCTCCGGAGAGTATCCCATCTCTTTGGCCCGAGACCAAGAAGTTCCTTGCCGCAAATCCCTCCTATGTTTCGGACAACAATATGATGAACTGGCTCACAGATGACCAACTTCGCCCGGAGCACACCGAGGGAGGAAATGGTTATTCTACCTGCCATTTCTGGTCCAACTTCGAAATCGGAGATATGGAGTTCTTCAGGGGCGAGCAGTATTCTGCTTACTTCGACCATCTGGATCGGTCTGGTGGTTTCTTCTACGAGAGATGGGGCGATGCTCCTGTACACTCGATTGGTGTTGGTCTCTTCGCGGACGCAGCCAAGGTTCATTGGTACGTTTAACTGCCCTGGCTCCTTCGATGACTATCTTACTAACCACTTCTTTTTTGTCAGGTTCCGCGATATCGGTTACAACCACATCCCCTACTACAACTGCCCCAACTCGCCGAAGTGCTCCGGCTGCACGCCCGGCAAGATGTATGCTGGTGAATCTTGGCTGGCTAAGGAGGATTGCCGGCCAAGCTACTTCCACCATGTCGGTACGCACTAAACGTGCTGTTCACACAATGCTGCATTTTATTCGAATTATATGTGCATAATATAGCGGCGCGGTTATTCTACGCAGCCTTTGAAACCGTTCTGCAACAGGTGCAACGAACAGGTATCGTTCCCCTGGCGCATAGGCGTTATGATCTCGGCCTCGGAACCTGGGGGATCCACCCGGTAATAGAGATCTCGTGTCGTCCAGTGTTGCAGGTTGCCTGTGCAGACCTCAATACATGTGTCAACCACGGCCTCATTTCATTCTCCTATTACATACATCTTCATGACACGAGTCATTCAAAAACCAATATCAGAATTTCGGCGGCGTTTGACGGCTTGGTTTCTTCTTCCTATATTCTTCCTTTCTTGCTGTTCCTACTATCTATAGTCTTCGTTGTGTTATGCTACCTTGATGAGGATCGCTGGAGCGGGCCTTGGCTGTATCTATATATTTCATGATTCTCACACTGCTTCACGCTATTGACGCAATAAAAGATTTCTGAATACACCAGTATAGAGGCTGCCCCAGTTCCCATAATCAAGCGTAACATCCTGCCTTTTCTGTCCTCAACATTAGTCGGAGCGCTATTGTCTTCATACTGCTCCAGACTGTCCCATGCGGTTCAACCCCTCCAGCATCTCGATTGAGCCTATCTCGAGGCGAAATATTGATGGAATGGAAAAGAAAATGACACCCTCTTATTTTCCGCACTATCACCAATAATACAGAGTACAGATAAATGCTCACAAAATTTATAGTAGCACTGGTATAGAAAAGCACGCGTGCACCTCCATTCAACCCCCGGACAGTCAGGAAGTCGGAAGCAGATGGCGTTAATCAGAGACGGCCCACCGAATACATCAGCGACTTCAATCGATTCCAACTGCACTCTAGAGTATGTATACAGCTTTCCTATCACAATTGACGGGGGAAGGAGCAAAAGAAACATGACGAGATACATGTCGGGACGAGCCGTTTACGCCTCCTCGGGGTAGAGCTCCTCACGGAGAGCAACACCCAGCTCCTGGCGGAGACCCTCAAGGGCCTCAAGGTATTGCTTGTACTGCTCCTGGGTCTCGACCTTGGCCTTGACACCTATTTGTAGAGAAAGAAAAAAGATCGTAAGTTCAACTGTCATGGAGAGGGAACAGGAATGTATGGGGGAGGAGGAAGCGCACCCTCGAAGATCCGGACAGCGGTGGGGTAGTCGTTGACGCGACGAGCAGCCTTCAGAGCAGCGGTGAGGACCTCAACGGAGGGAACGAGATCGTAGGCGAAGCAGTTGTTGAGATTACGCTGGTAGGGAGAACAGTAACTTGTCAGCAAAGGTGTCTGATATGGCGCCAAGGGGCTGCGGACGGTCCGGTTTTATCTGCCAATGGCAGCTTTGCTGATTATGGGGAAGGGAATTGATAGGGACGGATTGGAATCGTGCAATATGGGCAGATTAGCTTACCTGGAGCTCGAAGACATCCTGAACACCGTCGAATTCCTTCTCGAATCTACCGGCAGATGGGGTTAGTTATATGGGCGGAACTCGCGGGTTGGTGTGGTATTATCAAGAAAGATGTGTGAATTGTCTCGGGGAACTGGTAGTGGGAATCCCTGTGATTGGGAATCGTGCAACGCAGGGAGCGTCGGAACCCAATGGCTTCATGGGAGGTAGTTGCATACCTGGCAGAGAACTCCTCGTATGTCTCGTCCTCGTGGTGACCGCCGAAGCGCTTAGCGGAGGTGCTGAAGCTGGGACGGGCGATAGCCAGAGCAACGGGGGCCTGCACCCGGGGACGGGGCAATTGAGCCGCTCTGATGAAGCCGGAAGGGCGGACGGCGCGGGTCGCGATGCGGAAGACGGAGATGGGCGACATGGCGAGAGGAGGGTGGGTTGTGGAGGTGGACGAATGGACGTGGGTGAGGGGAGATCAGGACGGGCGAGGTGTTGACGAAGTTCGAAGTCAGAGGTTCTGCCGGCTACGCTAGGATTTTGCGGGTGGTGTGAGGTTGTTGCTGCCTCAGGCCAGCAGTCTGGTCAGCCCGTCATTGATAATCGCCCGCTTCTCTTTTGCGGCTTGCGGCGTTCCCGTTCGCGCCCGAGTTCGCGGATACCTCAGGCAGAAATTGGCATGCTGTCATTCGCTGCCTCAGGTCTCTCCCCCATCCGGATTTTTATATGCCGTTGATGATTGGCGGATGTCGATGTGCCCCGATTGCCGGGTCTGATTGGTTGGTCCGTTCATGCCTCGGAGTTGACTTGGACAAACATGACTAATCACCACCAAACTGGTGATTTGTAGTAGTAGTTAGCAATCAAACGAGGTCACAGTATCATATTCAGGGACTCGAGCTTGAAATGAAGGTTCTCCTGGTGGTCCGCGTCCCGGGACTCCAACTGAACTTTTGAGTTTACACCCCATGTGGCGATCCTTATATCTCCTTCCAACCTCAATTTTGAATCTATCCTATTTCTCCAATGTAATTTACCAGCCTTGATGCTGCTACTGCTACTGATGCTCCTGTATGGTACCAATCGAACCCATCTGTCTCCGTTATATATATTTGGTCTGAGGACCCGGAGTTCGGAGTAGTACAACGTCGCGGTTTGTTGACGGGGCTTCTCGAAAACCAATGGAATGCGTCAGACCAGTTTTACCTTGAATCTAAATATCCTTGTAGCAGAGATCTAAAACCATGCACATTACATACATCGGAAATCTGGATCGATCGGGTTTCAGAAGGTTGTGGCAAGTGCCCTGAAGACCCTGAATTTACTGTTTCAATTTACCATTGAAGCTTGCGCCCGTCAAAGCTCAGAATTGAGACGAAATAATTCACCATCCCCGCAATAGACTATCAGAGCACGGAATACTGCTTTCTATCCAAGTTGTTCGGTTATGTCTGTACTGAGGCTGATGAATGTATGTGTCTAAGCGAGAGGCAGACCAAGCATGTGAAGGAAGTGAGGTGGTCTGTGATTAGTCCCCATAAGGTCGAACATGTTTGACGGAACCAGTGAACTGCCGACTATTAGTGGCCAAATCGATACATCCCAATCTAATTTGAAACCGCACATCTGGGGCACACCCCCTCTCAACGTGCCTGAGAAACTCCATTGATGTGCAGGAGAGTTTAAGCTTGAGGATAAGATTAACAGACCGTACTCTGGAAGCAATTAACCCAAGGACTGCAGTGGCGGACATAAAATTCGGTGCCTGGGAGACCCGGAGACCGGAAGGCACATGATCGCCGGGCCCTAGAGCAAAATGCCCCTTTTCAACCGCTGGCCGAGGCTGCACTAGTCCGCATTCGGACCCTGCGGGCGCGCCGGGAAGCCCAAAAAAAAGACACGCGGATTGATCCTCCTTCCATTGCAAGGCAGGCCAGCTCTTATTCCACCCTCTCCACCTTTCCTTCTGCTTCTTTTGCTTCTTCTCTCCTCTTCTCCTTCCTCTGCCCCCTCCTCAATCTCGCTTGTTCTCTTCTTTCCTTCCTTTTTGTTCTCCTTCTCGTCGGCTTTTCTTCTTCTTTCCCTTTCTTCCCCAGTCTCTTCGGCTGTTTCGGTCCGCATTCTTGCGACCAGTTGAGAAAGCGAAAAAGGGAGCGTTCCGCTGTCATCTTCCGGAGTTGTTACTCTTCGACTGCACTGTCGCATACACTGTTCGGTCTTGATACCTTGATTTCCGTTCACCATGGATGTCCTGCAAAGTCTGCCTTTGCCGTCAATTGACCGGCCGTTTGGTATTCACCTATGGCCTATCTTCGACAAGGCCTTCGAGCTGGTGGTGGGCTATCCTGCCAGCGAATTTCGCTTTGAAGAAGGCGTGACGCCCATGTCTACTTTCAAGGAAACCGCCATTGCGCTCGTTGCCTACTATGTCATCATCTTTGGTGGCCGTGAGTTCATGAAGAACAGACCTGCCTTCAAGCTCAACACGCTTTTCATGATCCACAACCTTTACCTCACCCTGATCAGCGGCACTCTCTTGGCTCTCTTCATTGAGCAGCTTCTCCCTACTGTCTGGAGACATGGTATCTTCTATGCTATCTGTGACCACGACGGTGGATGGACGCGGCCTCTTATCGTTCTGTACTATGTGAGTACTCACGGCGCGGGACAAGTTTCGCTACGATCGGATCCGGTATGCTAACGATATCGCGAATAGCTCAACTACCTGACCAAGTACCTCGAACTCATCGACACCGTCTTCCTGTTCCTCAAGAAGAAGCCTCTTACCTTCCTTCATACCTACCACCACGGTGCCACCGCGCTTCTCTGCTATACCCAGCTTATTGGCTTGACTGCGGTTCAGTGGGTTGTCATTGATATCAACCTCCTGGTGCACGTCGTCATGTACTGGTACTACTTCCAGAGTGCCCGCGGTATCCGTATCTGGTGGAAGGAGTGGATCACCCGTCTCCAGATCATTCAGTTCGTCATCGATCTCGGTTAGTAACCATTTCCAGCTCCGCATCGCTTCAACTAACCAGGTGACAGGCTTCATCTACTTCGCTTCTTACACCTACTTCTCCTCTACTTACTTCCCCTGGGCTCCCAACATGGGCAAGTGCGCCGGCGAGGAGTTTGCCGCTTTCTCCGGCATGGCTGTCATCAGCTCTTACCTCTTCCTCTTCATCTCCTTCTACGTCGCTACCTACAAGAAGGCTGCCAAGGCCGGCCGTCCCCGCCGCAACACTGGCAAGCAGGCTGTTATTGACATGGCCAAGTTCGAGGTCTCTTCGCCGAACGCTGACGCCAAGGGCAACGCCAAGTCCAACGGAGCTGCTGTGTCGACCGGCCGTGCCAATGGCCCGGTTACCCGCTCCCGCAAGGCTTAAGTCATCAGAGAAGCACGATAGCGCATCTCTCGGTGCTTTGCTCGCTTGGAGCCTGCCCTTGCGAACGATGTTTCAAACCCACTTATTTCTTATTCTCACGCCTCTATGCCTATGTTGGCAAACTCACGGCTTAGCGACGGAGCCCCAATCACACAATGCCCTTGGATTCTACCCTTGATGTTTCACACCCGACACCCCCAAAACTTTATATTTATTTAATGAATGACCCTGACGACCCTGGTCGCCTTGCTTTGCGACCAGCTTATGCATGTGGCACCGCTGCTTTGCAGGGAAGGCGCCAAGCTAATCCCAGCGAGGGCGTATTGGAGTGGGTGAAGTTATTCCTGGGGATACGTCAGGCAAGAGACCCTGCACTGGCTGTTTTCAGGCTGTATTCTAGATGCTTTTCTACTTCTTCGGGCAGTCGTCTATGCGCCGCTGCTGGATGTTGACCTTTCCGACGCGCAGTATCTTTCCTAGTGCGGCATTATAGATGGTGAGGTCAACGTAAATGTAATCATGGTTATGTGCCTGTTTAATTGATATTTACCTGTACATAATTGATTGCGGATCTTTTATTTCTTCAATGCTAATAATCAAAACGCATGGTGTCTACCACAACCTTGGGCATGGATGTATAAATGATTCTGACCGTCAAAGACGGAGGAGGGTAACAGGAGAAATTGAAATCGCTAAAGGCCATAGTTCAACGGCAGGCTATGGACGACTGTTAAACGGCAAACACGAGAAACGTCTTCGCAGGCGGTATTTCAATTAAGTATCCTGATAGTCTGCAGAACATTGGGTTGATGTGCCACTTGCCCATCTAATAATCACATTAGTCAATGATATTTCCGGGGGCAACCGGCGGTCAACGGACTCCCTGTTTTTGAGATTCGGTCGATGGACGAACAATTGAGGTCGCTTATGGGGATGACAGCATGACAGGCGCAGAGTCGCGATGCTCGCTAGGGGATCGGAGTTGCTGGAGTGGCGGGATCGACCCTCGAGTTACTCCGAGCCGAGATCGTCATGTCAACTATCACAGCTCTCGATGGTATTTCTCCACTTCCCTCTCAGCTTCCTGCTAACAGTGAGGTGCAATATGCATACGGTTTTCGGTCTTCTAGAGCATTCTGCTAAGCGGAAATATCCAAGCTCAGTTGTAGATAGTTAACGATCGCTTACCGGTCAATTGCTAATCCGGTCTTGAACAGAAAGGCAAATAATGGTGTAACTGACTATTGCTACTATGTATAGGCGCTATAATCTAAGCTCTAAATCAGACCCGGGAGTGGCTCCAATGGGCTGAAAGCTTATCACTGCCACCTCGACTTCTCGTGCCGATTGCTCCCGTGAATCCCTCGATCTTGCAGTCGGCTGGAGCCGTGGATCCTGGGCAGATCCAATGGTTCATGCAACTAAGGAGACAGCGTCCTTTCGCATCTGCCTAATACCCCCACTGGTTGATGAGTACGCTGTCTTGCTGCCACGAGCTGGTCTACCTATTTACATGGTCTGTGTGGGATCGCCCAATAGACGATATCAATGGCTTGGACTATGAGATCTAGGCGCATTAGTCTAGGATTTAGCCTGCTCAGTTGCTATTTTCTTTTTCACAATGGCTAAGGAATGCTGAGCTGTATGGCTCCATTCCTGCATTGATGCCAGAGTCCGATATGGCTTTGGTGATGATTCTGTTGAGGATCAACGTGAGCAGGCCAGAGCACTGACCTCGTTATTGCGCTCCATCGATGATCTTCACGCTCGGCTGAGAGGAGCTCAATGATCCGAAGTATCCTGAAGATGATTTCAAGGGCTCTGGGAATAGCATAAAAGGGCCCTCGATTCCTGCCCTTCTGTCTGTATTCCATCCAGCATCACAATCGCATTATCTCTCCAATCCTCTACAATCAACACTTCTACTTTAGTTTTAATAACTAATCTTTACCACTACAACCGACACCATGCGTTTCTCCATCATCTCTGTTTCCCTCCTCTCCCTCTTCGCCTCCTCGGCTCTGGCTGTCCCCGCCGCTTCCGGCACCCTGAGCTGCAGCGACGTCAACTCGCAGCTCTCCGGCTACGAGCAGCGCCTCGCAAAGGCCACTGACACCAGCTCCGCCAAGTACCAGGCCGCCCAGAACTTGGTTAACTCTGCCAAGAACCTCGAGTCTGCCGACTGCGGCAGCTCCAGCAAGAGATCCTACTACCCTCCCGAGAGCACCGGTCTCATTGGAGAGATCCTGAACGCTCTTGACTCCCTCGTTAGTATCCCTTCTTTAACATAGCTTCGGTTTGTGATACCCCATCTAACTCGACTTGTCACTTTAGCTTGAGGCTCTCGGTCTGTAAACAGCCATCCTATCACCGAGAAGCGCGACTCGACGTCGCGCCTGGGATCGTCCCTATCTAGTCCCTTCACAGAGTCGCCGGACGATGGAGGGATGCAATGTGCAGGATGGCCTCGGTATAGGTTTTCTCCATAGGTTTTCTCCTGAAGGTTTCCCTATACCACAATGCAAATGCAGGGGTCGGGGATATCTCTGGAATATCGGCGATGGTTCCTATGTTATTAATGGAAATGTACGGGTATAATTAATGATATCAGCCTGTCTATAAATATCTTCTTCGGAGAAAAGCGTAGCAACTTCTAGTTTCCGGTCCTCTAGAGTATTTGTTATTGATATTATTAGCCCCGGTAATATCAATCAGATCTGACACGTGCTTTTTCTTAGGAAATATCCTGAGTGTAGTCATGAGCTATTTCTGTTGGATGGGACCTTGCGCATTTGCCGAAAGTCAGAGAGAAATATGTATGGTCATAGTAAATTGAAATTGATACTATCTTCCTAATTAACCAATTGAATGTTGTCATCTAGGAGAATGCCGTGATTTTGCTACCAAACACCAAAGAATACCAGATATTCGAAACAAAGTTGGAAGATGCGCGAATTCAGACATTGCCTAATGAGTGTAGCTTGTCTCAGATGTATAAATACTATTTTACCATCCCCCAGTCTAGTGGAAGCACACCACGAAGTATACTACGCTATCTCACGCCATCTTCACGGCTCAACTGAAACCATTTCTTTCTATCTTCTTCGTCAACAAACTCGGAACAATGCACCCATACAGCTCATTCGTGATCCACCAAAACCAACGAAACCCATCAAGACTGAACTCTCTTTGTGACTTCCTCAACAATCCTCAGTCAGACCAGCATGTTAGTCGACTGGGTGTGTTGGAGTTTACTCAACTGAATTCTCCACCTGTCTATCGCACACTTGACCATCAGAGCTTGCGCGAAGTTGTCTCCGAGGATATAGTGATTACAGAGGAATGTTCGCTATATGGTCGTATCGTTCTTGTTGAGAATATCTCGCGTGGTATCGTGGAAATCTTGGGTTGGGCGTTGAGAATTGATCCCTCGTTCTTTGAAGCTCATATTGGGAATAAAGATTGCTCCGAGGAATCGATGCTTAAAGTTGGGGATACACCGCAGACATTCGTTACATGGCACTACCCTCGGGCCATTACGTTAGAGGGTTTACAGGGGCATGTTGGATCTGAAGAGTATGTGAGGCAATTGAATGTTTATAGAAAAGTCCTGCTCTTACCTTTGGCTCAGGACAACGCATTCGATGCCCTCATTCAGCACCATTGCTCTCTCTCTGTAATTGACCTTAAAGGTGGTGGTTGGCTCGGTATGTCTACTTTGCATTGTCTGTCTACTATCTCGTCTACGCACACCAGCTAACAGCAGCAGTTCTGATTTTAGTAGACCCCCCAGTCCTCAACGGTGGTCTCCGACTAACCCCGAAAAGTGGCCCAGAGGGCCCCATTCTTACAGCTTCAGATCGTCAACTCTTTCAATATGGCTACGAGGACATCAGAGATTCTGACTACCCAGAGGAGCAAAATTGGCCATGCTCCCCTCCTCACGAGAGAGGCGGTTCATCCCGCCCCCCACGAGATGGACTATTTGATGACCTCGTCTACTACTGGAGAAACAGGCTCGCACCAGCATTCGAATTCATCGACCCCCCGGCGACGTCTTTTGTATACTACCCCTTTGAAATTGCCGTAGCCGAGTGGGCCAACAGCTACGAGGCAATGGACCTATTTCTTCAAAATTATCAATCAGTACTGCTGGATAACAAAAATAAACCTGACAACAGCATCAACCAGGCCAGCCACCCCGATCCTAACATTTCGATTCTCACGGCCTTGCGCCGCTGGATCATGCCCCACATCACGCAGCGTCCAAGGGACCGCGGATATCTGGAGAATCAGATTACAGCCCCTCCGCTTCTTGTCGACGACTATGAAGTCGTTATCAACAGCTTGGAACAACTCTCATCTGCTCTGGAGACCATCCTTATCCATTAGCAGAAAGTTCTCACCTGCCCCTACTAACACATCATACCGTACCGTTGTCAAGCCATACATCGAGCGCACCAAATCAGGAACTCGTCTATTTGTTGTTTGTCTCAGTCAGTGTACGTGATGCCCGTGTTGTTTCAATACCATGGCATGATTGAGAAGTCCGTCCCAGCTGAAATCACTACTACTTATTAAAATCACGAGTAACTTTCACAGAAGCCTGACAACTACCTAGACTGGACGACTACAGGCGTACTGCCACCACTGATGCTGCCGCTATTGACTACACACTAAGTTCCACTGTCTATCTTAGTAACTAACTTGGGACAATATGTGAGTGCTGAGATGGTTACGAGGGGCTTGATCTTGCATTGAAATATTCTACAATAAGCAATGCCAGTCATTGAAGCGATTTAATCCATTGGTAGATTCAACAAGTAGATAAGTAATCAAGTAGCCAAGTTAATGATGTCTGAAGCAGATTAGCAGCCAGCGGAAATCCCTACAAATCAGCTTCACACCCGAGGGATAGTAGTAACTTTTCCCCCAACCCCTCTCCATCTTAGACACTGACATCACCAATTGTTTCAACCACGATAAACCAGAACATCTGTCACGTGTGACTATCTAATCACGATCAAACATTCCCTCCATAGACAAGACATAACCTTCCCTGCAGAATGCCACACTAAAACAGACTATACTCACGATCAAAGATCTCAGGTATGCAGGATGACTCCCTTATCCCTCCATACCATCACCACCACCTACATACTCAATCTACCTACCTTGATTCAAACTTAACAATAAGCATAACCGTCACACGATCGATCAACTCCAGGGATGGATAGATAGATAAGCCCAAAGGCAAGAATGTTACGCTGTGGAGGTAATCAGTCATTCAGTCAACCGCGTAGAATGTGCCAAGACCTAGACAAGACACCCCCTCCTTGATACCTATCCGCACTTGACACCTCCATCCCTCTCTCCCTTGTTGAGTAGATAGAGAGATAGATGACTAGGCTACCTACACGTCCAGCACATGCCGTCATTCTTCACCTCTCACCTCCCACATCCCACTACACCCTCCCCTAGCTCGGTAAAGTGAAGGAGAAGGAGGAGAAGAGGAGAGTGAATCCCCACCCACTTACCCTTACCCACACACCACCTGTCATGTCATATCATATCACGCCAAGGCAAAACATGGCACGGTATGGTATGTCACCTCCCCCTTCTTCTCGGACGAAACTCCACCTCCACCTCACTTTAGTTGACATTCACTTACCTAACTCGACTCCGCTAACTCATAGCGGCACCCACTAAGGTAGTAAGTAACGGCCATGCATCAATCCGGTAATGGTAACCGCACTAAAGAGTGAAGGAAAAACAGGGATTAGAGTCGATAGTTTGCTTAGTTCAGGTGGAACTGGAAGGGGAGGGAGGGGTAATGTAGCACTAAGATGGGACTGGGCGTTCAATAGTTGCTACCCTTTTCTATCTAGGTATTGTGCTAGGATACTATGTGGGTGTGACAGTGGTGATAGTGGTGGTGGCTGTTTCTAAAAATGTTCGTTTAGTATCATTTAGTATAACATAAGGACCATCTAGCTACCTAGATTGGTGAAGTGCGCCGTTGGAGGTAACTCCACTTGTGGGGTGTGATGTTAGCCATGTTGGTGGGTTTATCCAAAGTCTTCCTCTATCTTTTTCGTTGTTTCTCGGGCTTTTCTGTGGATATTGTACTCTGTGGATAGTAGTGTGCGGAGGACTATTGTAGGTAGGTGATGTGTGATGACAGCAGCACGGTATGTCCCCCTGTCCCGGCAGGTTCTCCGTGCTAATCTTTCACGCAGTGAACTAGAAATGTAACTCTCCCCTGAGTGATGTTCTGTCCCTCTTTTGCCTAAAAGATAAGCAAAAACCCGACTCGTCACATCACACAGGCAGGATAATCCCCAACAGTGCAGCCACCCTTCAATTTACCCCTCCACTTTTACTAGGTACCACCAACTGTCACACAAACCTAGTCTAATAGGAAAATAGTAGTGGACACACCATGCAAGAAGGTTATTGTCCGAAGTTTCATCGTCGAGCGTTGGCGCGCACCCATATATAGCTAACCTGAAACGCCCATTAAAGCGCTAATTGGCCATTGAGACACCCGAGGGTTCAGGAACACCGAATATACCACAACAGGAGAGTTTCTTATCTGCACACAGAAAATCAATATATTGAGAAGCCGGGTTTTATGCGAGAACTGGTAGGGCATCTTTGCCGGTAACCTTGTTTGGGGAACTGTGGGTGTGTGTATGTGTTTGTGTGTGGGTGGGGGTTTCATGACCAGGTCCGTCGACGTAACTTTATTCGAACGAGTTTGTGCGATACGAAGGTTTCTCACTTGGTTATAGTGGTCCGTCCATGCGATGTGATGAATGTATACGTGAGGACTGGAAACCGGTTTCCTAGAGTTTAAGGCAGCAGGTTGAAGCCAATGGGTACGGCGTATCATTCAGGGGCGTGATATCGCATCCCCAGAATTAGAGTCCAGAGAAAGGAGGGCCGCCATAAACTTCACATCCACGTCAGACTCGAGTCAAATCACCGAGACTGGGTGGTTGGGGTCATGCAGATGATACGTCTGGTGATGTGCACTGACATGCGGGTTGGGTAAGTCTGGAGATATATCATGGGGTTGGAAAGTCAAATGAGCATTGGCGTAGGTGGCAGTGATGATTATCAACTCAATCTTGCGCTAAGTCCAGCAACAATAGACCTTCTGGTGAGGTTATTTTGCGCTGTGGTCGCTTGGCTGGGACAAAATAAATCAGCGAAGACCACTTGAGACGAAGTAAGGAGAAACAATAGTATGCTTAAGAAATGCTAAAAATATACTGAACTTCACCTCATGGAGTAGTAGTCGAGTCGATAAGAGGATTTCCGTAGTGTCCTTACTCCGTCTATGCCCGGCAAGTTCTGTATGTGTGTGTATGTATGTCTTGTCTGCAACAGTGCATTGCTCCCAGCCACATGCGCCCGTTGCGATGATGGAGAGAGCGAGCTAGCTCCTATAATCTACACACCACACAGATACACAAACTAGGAAGGACAGATATTCCTTCAGGAATAATCCTTTTGGAAAGAACGGAGTCTCCCACCGTGCCGAAATCCGTATCCGCCCATGCAATTAGCTTAACAGTTAGCAGTTGAGCAGCCCATCCCTTGGCCCCCTCTCCCATGCCGCTCGGCTGTTTCACACTGCAACCACCGTTGGTTGCGTTCCTGCATAAGTCCGGAGGAGGTTCGGCCGTTGGCTTTTTTTCCCCTCTGCTCCCGTCTCCCACTAAGAGAGCAATTGACTACGCAGAGTGAAAGTACGTGTAGAGACGGAGACTAACTGCGGTGATGATCCGACAATCATGTCTATTTCGGGGTATCGTTAATCTACCGATGACGCCCGATGATTTTCCAACCGCCTCGGCGGGGATCATCGACGGTGCACTGATGAATTGATTGATGGACTTTCCTCAACCTATCGTTGAGTAGTGTAGGTAAATATGATCACTTTTGTTTATTTACTCGATTGTTGGCGGCTTCCTCTTACTATGTTGTAGTTGTGGAGATCTGTCTAATTTGTTGTGTTACCCGGTGATCTCACTGCCTTATTATACTACCATTACTACCACCACCTCGACTCAGTAGGTGGATGCAGAATCTCCCTTGGATGCATCCCGTCTGCAGGGAGGTCCGCGTTTATTGCTGCGGGTATCTAGCAGTCCATGCGAGAAAGAGAGAGTGTGTGTACAAAAGAAAGAGCGAAAATTCTCCCATTCGACGGTCGGGCAATTGGATGACCCCATCACGGCATGAACCGGACCACCCACTGAAAAAGTGGGCATGAGTGGGAAGAGGAAGAAAGGGGGTGGGAACGCATGTAAACAGAAGAAAAAAGAAAAAGTTACGAACACCGGACGGGAAGATAGTTCCCTCTTTTCTGCCCTCTCCCATTGCTCGAGGGGTCTGGTGTGTTTGAATTAGACATGCTCCACTGGGCTGGAGCAACGGCGTTGCTTGGGAGTTGGGAAACGGTTCCCGGAGTTCATCCAATGCCAGGAACCAGGGGCAGGAAATGTATCAGATTGGGATGATGACGCTTATGTTGATGTTGCTGATAACGGGTGCTGTGTTGGGTGTTGGTGTAGTACCGCAATTGCTGGAAAAATGGGAATGACTGCGATCGAGATCGAGGTTGAGGGATAGATAGTAAGTTAGTGAGTGAATGCTACTTACTTTAGACTCGGTCTATCAAAAAGATGGGATCAATGCGCCGTGTCATTTCTCTGGGGGACTTTCCCAATAATTAGCAACCACCGCTAAAAAGGGGATCCTCCACTGCCTGCGAATTCTGCAGTGGATCCCACAACGCTCGACCACTTTGCTCTCCCCCAACTAAAGCTGTGACTAAGATGCTAACGCCGAGAAAGTAACAGCGTGCCATCACAAAGCAACAAAGACAAGATGACTTAAGATAATAACACGAAGGATCTATCTAATGGTTAGAGAGGACAGGGGAAAATACAGGAATGATGAAGAATTGCACCCACATGGCCCCAATTGACTACGGATTGCTGGACTCTTGGCGGGAGTGGAAGCAATCTAGATGTGGCCGCCATCTGCACGCCACGGCCCATCCATTTGGAGATGAAGAGTTTAGTTTAAACTGGCAGAGAAAAGTCAAGCACTGACCTTTGGCCTCCCGACTGCGCCCGTGGACATGTCTAATTCGTTTGCCCTTTTCCCCATCCATTATCGGGTCCCGTGGCGCTTGACTCCTCTCCAGGATCTTTTCCACCCCGGCAAACGAGTCCCGAAAATCTTGGATAACTTTTTTTTTTTTCGTTGTTTTCTTTTTCTGTTAGTTTAACCTTCTCCGTCTCCTCCGTACACAGTAGTCAGCTACTTATGACCGAGCCCGACTATCATTGCTGCTCCTGGTCAGGGTTTTAGTCAAGAACCGCGCATGCAAGGGTTGACCACGTCCTTGATCCCGAGCATCCTGAGGCAACGGACCACTTTTCGCTGCTGCAGGAGAGTCAGGTAAGGATGAAGAGAGGACGTAAGCACGCACTCCCCTCATTCCCGTGAAGCTTCAACGCGGCTCGTCCTGGATTCTTAGGGGGTCACCAACACGTATATCCGGGATGGGCGAGGCACAGGAGTAGGGTACATGGACTACTACTAAGTGTAAAGCGCCTAAGTTTGGTGGTGGCGCACGTGTCATGCACATTTGCTTCTTCCCATTCCCTGCAAATTCCCTAACTATTTTCCTTCCCATTTTTGTTTTAGTATCGAGTTAGTAAGTACGTAGGTAGTCTGCCTCCTCTCTGTCGCGGTGGATCTGCTCATGGTCCGTCCACTCCGGAGGTTGTGTGATCGAATGGCATTTCGGTGGCTTCGTTCAAGACAAACCTCCAGGGTCGGATCCACTCCGTTTCGAGCATGCCATCCCGTGTGGTCAATATACCCTGTCTGGTCCCTGTCCGGTATATTTGATATCCGTTTGCCTCCTTGTCGGCTCTTGCTGGCTTCCCCTGGCGGCTTTTTTTCTTCTTCATCTATTTCTGTTACGCTTCATCTCTCTCCATCTCTCGCCATCTCACGTTCTTTCCACTCCTCCTTTCCTCGTTGCTGGTGTTGCATGGGTGGCCCTTGACAACACTAACTGCATTGCATTGCTACCATCCCTCTCACCTCACCTCATCCATATCCCCGACCATATAATCTTTCATTATCGGCCTCTGGGGCGTACAGAGGGTCCCCCTTTTTCTAAATTAATTCCTTTTTTTCATCTTTCTTTTTTTTTTCTTTCCTTTTCTTCTTTAAATCATCCTTTTTCCTTCCTTCCAAATTCACTCCATCTCTTGTCAATTATCCAACATGTATCCTACAACAGCACCTCTTGATTTGGATTATCTCAATGAACAGTTGCTTCCTCGACGCTACGAATCCGAAGAAGAGGAGACGTCAGAATCAGAATATGGGGCCCATGACCATGCCTTTTCGCCTATCAAGACTGCTGGTCCCTTCGACTCGGATACCAGTGCAGATGAGCTTTCCAATGTGAATTCCCCAGAGTCGCCAGTGGACAAGTCGTCATTTGCCCGCCTCCTGTCAGCCTATCCATCCGGCAAACGAAGTCGACCCGTATCCATGGATACGGTGAAACGAAGCAGTGGAACGACGTTTGTACCAGATTCGTACATCTTTGACGACGAAGACGACGTGATAATTGAGCTGCCCTCCCCTAGTGCTACCTCTCCTTTGCAATCTCCCATCTTCCTTCAGCCAACAGTCTACCAACCTCCCGCGTCTCCCCTGTCGCAACAGTCACGATCTCCGTCTCCGGCTCTAAGCGAGTCGGATGAAGAGACAGACGTGCTCGTAGCAGAGCAGGTCAAATTCGTGGAACCCTGCGCCAAACCTAATCTAATCCTAATTAGTCCCGTCACCGACGGATCAGTGGTCGAAGAACCTGAACCCATGTCGGCAGTTTCTGCGGTTTCTGCAGATGTACCCGATCGCTTTCCATCCGGCCAAGGAATCTACTCCTTGAACCAGGGAACCAAATCCCAGCCCTTGTTGAGCGACAAGCGGCCCGATTACCTGGCGCACATGAAGCGCGGCAGCTTGCAGCTGCACGGCAAATATGCGAAACAAGCGCCCAAACGGGCCGATACGGACCCCTTCACAATGCCGCGAGCTCTTGCGGACGTTCCTGAAACAGCCCAGGCGATGGCCATGCGCTCGCGTGCTATGACATGGAATCGACCACAGACGTCCGCCGACAGTGCATCGAACCGCGGTCCCAAAGCGGGTCTCCTCCGCCGTCCGCCATCTATGCAAAGTGTTGGTGGTGCTGGTGGTGGTTACTCTCTGTTCCCGAGCACCAGACGAACCCCTGCATATCCTAGCGATGAGTTCCACGCTCGGTCCACCTCTATGTCCCACTCGATCGCCAGTTCGGACATGAGCCAGCCACCATCACGCACATCCAGTCCAGCACCATACTACTCCTCCCCTACATTCAACCGACACCGCTCGGGTTCATCGTACAGTGTATCCAGCGTCCCCGGCAACATCGCACAGCGGCCGCCATTGCGCAACTCAATCATGAAGAGCTCAACCGCATCGAGTGTGTACTCGGCCAGCAGTCTGCGATCGGAAGTGGAGAGCGTGCACAGCCTGGAACCACGGGAGACCACCGAGCCCGAAGTTGCCAAGACGGCGCGGCGGAAGAAGAGTTTTCGGCGCAGCAAACAGCCCAAGCTCGAGAGCACAACAACCGAACCGCTCCCAACAACCCCCAAGAGTTTCATGGGGTTCATGTTACGAGGGCGGAGAAAGTCCACCATTCAAAAGTCTTAATGCTTAATTTTGTTTGTCATTTTGTTGGAACTAGTGTTTCATATTCATCTCTTTAACTACCGATTTGGGGCAAATCGGCTATGATGGCGTTCGGTTAGCGGGATTAAGGGTTTAGGAAACTGGATCAGGCGGCTACTTGATTTGAATTGGTTCTTGTTTACTCGCACTGGATGCTACATTCCTGCTACTATATTACTCTAGTGTTTGATTTTTTCCTGTACTATAGCAAGGAACAAACAGTGGTCTTCCCGGAGCGGGCCCATTCAGAAAATGTTGAACATACATACCATCCATCTCTATCCATCTTTCCTCCCGCGTACGTAGGCATAGACAGTAAACTGACTCGAAATCATCACGATGAAACAGTGCTTAAGCACCCGTCCTGTCAATCACCGAATCTTCCATGACCCTTCCATCAGCAATCCATCGAGGCATCTACGGCCCCTACCGCCCTCATCCACAGGAACCAACCCAGCTAGCTGGCCGGCCCAAAGTTTGGGTCCGATCTGGACACGGGAAAAATATACGATGAGATCTGACTCGTTCCCCGATCCACTTCATCTCGGTTGCGATCTACGTACCAAACATCGCCAATGGGATTGTAGTTGCCTAGTGCTGCTGCTCGTATACCTACTATTCACCTACACTACGAAGGTCTACTACGCCTCTCTTGCATGATTTGAAGGTATCAATATGACCTTGGACAGACAAATTGAACAATAATCCTGTCCCTGAACCCCTATTCACTGACCCCAATATAATTCTAATATAATTGATGGAAATCCATACATTGCGATCTACCAAACAATACAGTAGTATATTAAACGTAATCTACCGATATATGAGCCCTATATTGGCACGGGAATCATGTAGATAGTTCTTCGGCATTTCATTTTAGACTACGTACCCGTGCATCCCGATCCAAGTTTCAGGGTGAGTACGTATACGATAAAATCAAATGAAGTTCTATAGGTGGATCCTCTGGCACGGGCACCGGCACATCGCTTAGAACCTGATGAGTACGTACCAACTATCTGACTAACTATCTATCCATTAGTCTAGTTAGCTACCGTGATAGATAGTTTGTTGGGTATGGCAAGATTCAATGGTACGCTAACCCGCTCGCTCGATCGCTCGAGCCACGTTCAGCTCCGGTGGTTCCATCCATCCATCCGTCTATCGGTTAGGTTGATGGTACGAACCATGATGCACGGAATTAGAGTTGTGGTGCCGAAGTCCCAATCATGATGTGTCTGTCTGTCGATCAGTGTGTGCATTGGGACTTCATATCTCTTCATGCTTTGGTGGGTTTCACATGGCTTGACATGACTCGGAGAGTTTGTGCGGGAACTGACTCGGGGGCGGGCTGGCTGGCTGGCTGCGTGGCTTTCAGCTGGCTGTGTCATTATTCTCTGCTAAGCGATGTGGCAAGTTGGGAAATGAGTTGTGTATCTCTCTCTGTATGATTATCTCCGTGGAGAGGAGGATGGGGGTGAATATACTTTGAGGTCGTGTGGGAATGAATGCAATGGTGATTGCTCAATGATTGACCGACTGACATGTAAGTGAAGTTGTGTAGATGAATGAGGATGGGGATATTATTCATCGCTGATTGGGCTAGTAGTTAATGCACTCGCTTGGGTGCCTGGGGTATATAAAGCCCCTTCTTTCCCTTCTTTCCCTTCTTCTTTCGTTTCTACTTCCATTTCACTCACCTGGTATGATCTAATGTCATATTCGGTCAAGAGGCAGCCAACCAGCCATGTACATGATGCAATCTTTCACAGCGAAATATGACTTCGTTGCTTGGATGAATCACGTTGATACTCCTCGTACTTTTTTCATTAATGCCACGTCAGTAGCGCCATGATATATCCTTTGAAATAGACTAAAAGTCCACAGCTAACGATATGGCAGACACTGGCCGGATAGCCGTCAAAAAGGGGGTTGTATCAATGAACTGCAAATGAAAAACAACAATAAACACTAGAGGATAAAGAACCTCTCATAAAATGCGGTAGCTTTCAGCAGCAATAGCAACAGGAGCCACAACAACAGGTACAGCAGTGGCAGCCAAATTGCCCCGGCTCCAGAGCTTAAAACAGTGAACTCGGTTGTTTTGAGCTTCCTTGTTCCAAGACTTGTTGATGGACCATAAAAGTCATATAACTTCGATGTCTCCTGTGGAACTCTGCCTTCATTAAATTTTTAATCTTTACATAACAATAATTGGCAATTGCGCCTGTTGACACACTATATTCTGGAAGCAAGTACACGACGATTTCAACGTCTCGGAGTGAAAGGTCGTGGTCATGGCGGCCGTGGTGGCCGCGGGGCGAGAAGACATCGCAACAGATGTTTCTGTGGGCTTTTGCGTGGTTTGCGGGCATTTATCAAAGAATGCCGTTTCTTGCTCGGTATGGAGGCGTTGGCAAGTTTTAGTTATCAGATGCGTGGGAATATTGCATCTACACGATGCCTCTATAGCAGCTTCAACCCGAGGTCATAAATGGAAACGTGACTTCAATAGAAAAGGATAAATGGGACCAGAATGTATACTAAGAGCGCCCACAGGCTGGTCGTAGTATATAATGGTGTCTATCATTCCCCTGTTTACCGCGATTATTATGTATGGGAATGCGAGGTCGCACATCTTAGCAGTTGCTGGCTCATTGACCACAGAAAGCTAACGATAGGGAAAGACCTTGTCTATGAAAGTGTTCTAGATATTAATGGAGCTAAAGGGAAGGCATCCGTAAATATCCAGAGAGGTTCGAAAGGACGCTGGCCTGACCTTACAAGTCTTAGTACTGTTTTGGGCCTACTTAAAAATAAGGGGATGCGTGACAATGTGCAGCTTTATACCTGAGAATTGGCCTTGTATTTGCTCATATCGAATGTATTATGGACTCGAATATAACTAGAAGCATACCAAATTATCCAACGTTCCTCCAATGTGCGACTTGAACGAATAAATCCAAGAAACTAGTAGCAACTATTTACGCGCTTCGAGGGCAGATGTGATAGCTGCAACACGTTAGCTTTGTCCTCATACATTAGCAGGGTAGCTCACCATCGCAAGAGGTCTTGGCATCTCCAAAAAGCATCCTCGTTCCAGGCATGTAGAACATCGGATTCGGGACGTCGGCTGTTTAATTAGCACTCGCTCACCCACCATGTGTCAAAACAACTCACCGTATCCGCTGGACATGCTGCGCTTCATCACAACAACCTCCTTGCTCTTCCACGCATGTAGCACGGGCATACCTGAGATCGGCGAGTCAGGCTCCAGGGCGATTGGATTGACCGTGTCATTTGCACCGATGACGAGGGTTACGTCAGTATCCGGAAAGTCATCGTTAATCTCATCCATTTCGAGAACGACTAATCTGATTAGCCTTGTCAAGATGCTCGGGCGTTGTGCCTACTGTCATAAGGAACAGATGCCTCTGCCAAAAGGACGTTGCATTGACCCGGCATCCTGCCTGCAACAGGATGAATGGCAAATCGCACGGTGACACCTTTGGCACGCAGCATGCGCACAATCTCGGCCAGTGCATACTGCGCCTTCGCCACAGCCATGCCATATCCAACGACCTATACCCGTTAGCCATGTCCATCACTTCGGAGCTCCTACGTACTATTATGACGCTTTCTGCATTTGACAATGCTTCCACCGTATCGTCGACAGTTGCCTGGACTACCTCGCCTTCGATCTTCTTTGCTTGTTGAGGAGCTGCAATGCCACCGAACAGGACGTTGGTAAGGGAGCGGTTCATAGCGACGCACTGACGTAATTAGAATTTTCCGAGCAAGCTTTGAATCAAGAACACCTACCATGATGTAGGACAGAATTGAACCGCTGACTCCAATCAAAGAGCCTACACTGGTGAGAAGGGGGTTATTGAGCATAAAACCTTCGGCAACCAGAGCAAATCCAGAGTATGCATTCAAAACGGTGATCACCACAGCTGTGCTGGTCAGCAAGGCACGGCATGGAGTGTCGAGCACTTACGCATATCAGCTCCACCAATGGCAGCGGTCGTAGTATAGCCTTTCAAAAAACTGAGCAGGGTATTTGCGCCTAAGCATGTCGCTGCAATTGCTGGGGATCCAGGTGCCATGGTGACAAAGGCTCCCATCGTGGCCACATTACTTCCAAGCAGACTTGTGTTGATCAAGTGTCTACCAGGTAGTAACATAGGCCGTGATGATATACGTCCTGCAAGCTTCAGGAAAGCCACAATAGAGCCAGTAAAGGTAACACCGCCTACTCTCGTTAGGAAGGTCCCAATCACGTAGGATACACGTACCAATTAGAACACCCAGATATGCCGTCACCATGTGCAATGTCGATACGTGAGAAATGTCAGCCACTACACTCCCTATGCTTGTAAGGACGGCCGCGAGCCCAACCACAGAATGGAGAGCAGCAACAGTCTGAGGGAGTCCAGTTGGTGTGATTCGTCGTCCTATCAGTGCTCCTATTGGCCTGTTAGGAGAGCCCACCAAATGATTTGTCTACATACCAGCGACAGAGCCTAAGCCAGCCACCGCGCCGAATTGGGTTAAGACTTCAGGCGAGAACCCTACAGCTGCCAGAGAAGCAATAATTCCAGCGGCGACTCCAAGTATTCCCAAGAATATTTCCACGCCTAGCAGTTTGCTGGGAAGCAAGACCCGAGATCGAGGCTACGAACATTAGCAATGGAATTATCAGCACGAAAACACTTACCAATACAGAGGACACTGCTGACAAGATAACCTGCTTGTACAAGCCCCGCCATTCCAGTGCTGGCAGCAGCAAGGAAGCCCCCGCCAAACAGCACAGCTGGGATAGCATAAAGCCAAGGGTATTCAGGCGGATCAGTCGGACCTGGACATGGTATGAGCGAATATCCTTTGAAATTATGTGCACCAACACTAACGCTTGAACATGTCCAACATGCGTTTGGTGATCACAAATCCACCTGATACATTCATGAATGCTAGTAGAACTGAAGTAGCACCCAGGGCTTCGGGTATCGTGCTGGGTACGTAGCCTCCGCCCATTATGAAGAAACCGCCGATTCCGACCATACCTTTGACAGTCAGCATTGATTGAACAGTAAATTGATATATAACCTACTCACCAGAAATCGCATTGGTAACGCTCATTAAGGGGGAATGAAGAGCCGGCGCAACACCCCACACTGCACGATAGCCGACCAGGCCAGCAAGACCAAATGTCAACATGTTGCTCATGAAAACAGGTCCTGTAGCCTTTCCCAGAGCAAGAGCAGTCCCCATGCCAGCAGTAGTGGTCGCAACATCACGCGTAGCTTTTTTCCAAGGCGATAGTGCCAATTCTGCTTGTTCTTTGGCAGGCGTAGGGATCTCTTGCTTAGGTGCAGGAGGTGGTACTGGCCGTGGGGCTGGCGGGATTATCTTTCCATCGTGTGTAACAATAGAACCGCGAACGACTTCATCCATCAGATCAATGCCGAAGGATTTCTCTTGGGGAGACATAGATAGGAGGAATTTGATAATGTTGTTCGAATACAATGTAGATGATTGGGTGGGGAGGCGTGATGGTAAGTCAGTATATCCTAAAACTATCAGTCCTGTATCTGTGAGTATTTGGAAGCAGCATACCGATAACCGTCACGTCTTCAAACTTAGACAATCCGCCAGGAACAGTTGCTTCGCAGTTCCCACCTGCTTCCGCGGCAAGATCGACGATGACAGATCCGGGTTTCATGGCAGCAACCATCTAGAATGGTGAGTGGCTTTTGATGCATTTTGGGCTGTGGTTCTTGCCTACCTCTTTCGTTATGAGCTTAGGTGCAGGCCTTCCAGGAATGAGAGCAGTGGTGATAATGATATCCACTTCCCGACATTGTTCCATGAAAAGCTTCATCTCCGCTTCGATAAATTCCTTCGACATCTCTTTGGCATATCCGCCCTGGCCTGAGCCCTCCTCTTGGATGTCTACCTCTATAAACTCGGCACCTAGGGACTGAACTTGTTCACGAGCAGCAGAACGGGTATCAAAGCCTCTAACAATAGCTCCCAAGCGACGAGCCTAGATGATGCACGTTAACGATATCCTCCAGTGTCGATGCGGTGACATAAGACCTACGGATGCGATTGCGCTCAAACCAGCCACGCCAGCTCCAATAACCAGAACTTTGCTAGGGGGGATCTAGAGCTTTTCAGTAACACAACCAATCATGTCAAAAAGAAAATCTAACCTTTCTAATTGGCATATTGTTAGTAGATCTGTATGAGACGTGTAAGAACTCACTTACCCAGCGGCAGTAACCTGGCCCGTCAGAAACCGGCCGAAGTGATTGGATGCTTCCAAAACAGCTTTATACCCAGCAATATTAGCCATAGAGCTATCGCGAGGTGGTCAGTATCGCGCGCTATCTATTACGAGTGGCGCATACCTAAGAGCATCGTATGTTTGTGCGCGAGATATTCTTGGTATCATGTCCATGGCAAAAGATGTGACGCCACGCGAAGCAAGTCTCTCGACCAATGGCTTGCTTTGGGCCGGGTACAGGAACGAAATGATCGTGCTTCCCTGGCGAAGTGCTCCGATTTCGTCGATGGAACCTTGCTGCTGAGGACTGCGGACCTTCAAGATGATGTTGCTCTGAGACCATATGGAATCCCGATCGACTAGTGTTGCTCCAGCTTGTTCGTACACTTGATCGTGTAACTTTGCTTCCTCTCCAGCACCGCGTTCAACCAGCACTCGCGAGAATCCTTTCTTGAGCAACAGGGAGACATTCTGAGGCGTCACGGCAACACGACGTTCGTTCGGGTACGTTTCACGAGGCACGCCAACGGTCAAGGCAGAATAAGGTACGACGGGGACGGGCGTTGATGCGGATGCAGCGGTAGCGTACCTTCTGCGTTTCTGAGACGACCTTGAAAGCGGCAGCTGTTCAACGCAGTTGTATCGGGTGGCTAACAATGGCGTTCCAACGCATCGCAGTTGCACCACTATTGAAGTGATGGCGGTTAGAAAGCTCTGGGACCCATTATCGATCAGGTTGGCAAACACTCACAAGTGGTCTCAACGATAGAGCGTGATTCCCGTGGATAGGCTCCAGGAACTGCTCGGCATGGCAACAGCGCCGAGCGCAGAAACAGCGGTACACCCATAATGGACCTCGGCAGCTAACGCAAGGCGGCTCTAATGATAGAAGCTATTTCCACAGAAGCCTTCATTCCACTTTCAATGCTGCAAAGGTCGCGGAAAGGGGCGTCTGGGCCACATGGGTGGTGTGACAGGAAGGGCAGGCTGGGGAAGGACAGCAGGAAGGCGGGTTGTCGTTTCGATCTGCAAACACATTCATTCAAGTACGTTAGTGAATTCAGATATCGGTTGAAGAGTGCAGGCGCGTACAGCTATATGGGGAAAGCTCCTGATTCATGATTCAATCAGGAGAGAGATTGATCGTTGCGGGGAGGTCACCGTCGCGCAAGGGATGGCGGGAACACTACAAGTCATTTCTCCACGAGTCTAAACTTGGCGTCAAGGAAGGATGACTCCGGTGACCGGAATTCACCTCCATAGGATTAAAGGACGAGATAATAGTAGTCGTAGCTGTGGGTGATGTGACCAAAGACTTGCAGGAAATGAGGGGAAGCCGCGCGGGGAAGACCCATTGACTGGCCATCGGCTTCGCGGAGCCTGAGCTGTCACTCCCGCTTGGCATCAGGCATCGTCCAGGATCCATCGCTTGTTCGGCTACCATCAAAGCACTTTTTTCCAATGGGTTTATGCTAACATCGACTGCATGAATAGCGTTTTAACCTGCCGCTTCTATAACCACGTATCCAGTACCTCCCAGGAGAGTTTTCATATCAACCTGATCCGGGTTACCCGTGCTGCAACGCACTCGTGAATGATGGGGATCTACATTAAAGACTCTAACTTATCCCGACACAATTGGACTACTTACTATTTAACCGGGTCGGACAAGCTGTGCTCTCCTACTTCTACGATCCTGGCCCAACCGCAACCGGATGTAACGCCGTCTAGGCGCTGCATCGGAGATAATTGTACATATCATGCAGAGCACCCTTCTGGAATACATATCTCTGTCTCGTGTGACGAGCCATCCTTCGGAGATTGTGAATCAGAGCAACTGTCCAGCCATAACCCTGTCCGGTGGAGATCTCTGACCACTCATTGAGAAAGTGGCAGTGAATTTGGCTCATTGTTGCATGCGAGCTCTTGGATTGGCCAGGCAGGGTAACTGGCGATTAAATTTTTGCCGACTTCTTTGTTCGCGTAGAAACCTCCACCATCATATGCTTGTGGGTGTAAACTGCAGCTTGAAACATCGAAGAGTACGCGAACACTTATCCGTTCTTTATAGAAGACCTGAGCCACATTTCCCCGCTCAAGACTCAGTGACCTCAAATATCAATGCGGTAATAATCATTTTTCAGCACAGCAACCCATCAACCAAATTTTTTAACGAATGCAGAGGGACCATGTCTCCGCAAATCGGATGATTGACAGTCCACGTGAATGATAATTCCAGCGAGACTCGGGCTGCCGGGGCGGAGGATAGGACCGTGCTATGCAGCGTAACATACGATCCTTGCGGGTAATGCAAAATAGAACACACTGGTCCTAGCTGAGAAGTATTCCCGGCATTTATACTGATAGGATAAGATCTTTGATAAGTAGTCGATATGAAGTTGATCCATGCAGTCACGTGCATAGTCTTCCAGATGCGGCTGCCTGAGGCCATACATGACTTATCTCCTGCTAATCTGGAGGGAGGTTCTCGTTGATTACTGTCCAAGACTACTAGCCATCGCAAAATGACTATAGACTAGCAGTCATTGTTGGATTCACAATTGGTTGAATTGACCTCGAATCGATGGCGAGATCCAGGTCTTGGTGATGGCCGGCTCCTCGCACGGCTTTTTATCCCGCTCCACTCATGGTGGGGCATGGGAATAATCATGATGATGCGATTGACATTCTCTCAACCGGTTTAATGTAATCTCTGTCTTATGTGCCCCAGAAGGACGCCCAGGATATCTTGTGAATCGTTAATATCCACCGATTAGTTCGATCGATAACATGATGGACAATTTCATGCATGCATCCACGCGTTGACCCCAACAGGCGATGGAGCGCGTAAAGGATCCGTCCACGGCCGAACGGGCTCAAGCAAACGTGGAACGGCTCCGCTGCGGTGATGCTACCAGAGCTAAATTTTTGCTTGGCTCCTTAAGGTACACTCTCTTGACCCACGGCGGTCGCATCCTTCCACCCACAGGCTCTGATTGGAATTTGCGCGCTCTTCCGGCCTCGCTAGTGGAGCGCAAAAGTGAGCTTCAACAATTCTTCTTTCCCTCACCGTTGGCTCTTGCGGAGCAGACATCTCCGGTCAAATCCCAACTATCCCGTCACTAGATTGAAGAGAAGTCAAGGGAATTGGATAAGTGTATATCTTTGCTAAACTGGGGAGTGTTGGTGACATCTTGACTCATTAAACCGGGAGCACGAATGCTTTAGCTTATCCACTAGGCTATTTTGGTTCCTTTTTTTTTTCCTTGCTGTCTTGCGCCTTACAGAGTGGGGTTAGCAGGTTCCTGATCATCTATCATCAATTTTCAGCTGACTTACGACAGAGGCATCTTCACTTAACTTCCTCACTTTCATCCTATTCTATCTGCACGCTCACTGGACGTGGACCTTTGAGCCTCTGATCACTGGCCTTGGTTTCCAGAACGGCAGTCATGGCTCCATCACCTCACCAACAACACTCGCAGCTCGTCGTCGACCCTGACACTGTTCCGGTTGGGGGAGAAGAGGTCAGGAGCCAGGCAGAGTCCCGAGAAGATGCAAAGCTATTGGTATGTTTATCAGTGGCAATCCTTTCAGCGATCAAGTGTCGGTATCGAATAAGTAATCGCTGATATACTACCAACAGAAATCGATGGGCTATAAGCCAGTGAGTCAGCCTCAGCAAACCTATTGCATGCAGGTTTGTCTAACCATACTTATAGGTCCTTCACAGGACATACACACTGCTTGAAAACTTCTCCACGACATTCGGTAAATGAAATGATCACGGTGGATTCTAGCTCCATGAACGTAGCTAACCTCACATGATTAGCTGCTCTTTACTTCGTTGGAGGTGTGCGCGTCACTTATAGTACCGGTATCGCAGCAGGTGGTAATCTGGCTTACTGGTAGGTCTTATCATCAACTATACGATGATAGATTCTCATTTTGTGTAGGACGAGTTATCTGGTCACGTTGGTTTTCACATACATCACCGCTGCCGTTATCGCGGAAGTATGCTCTGCCTCGCCCTCCGCGGGCTCTATCTACTTGTGGGCCGCGGAGTCTGGAGGCCCTCGCTTTGGAAGGCTACTCGGATTTGTTGTTGCTTGGTGGAGTACTACTGCCTGGACGACCTTCTGTGCTAGCAACACCCAATCTGCTGTCAATTACATGCTCTCCGTGAGTGTCCCTTCAAAGAATAATCAAGATGGATTACTTATCTGGACTATAGGAATTGACGGTCTTCGACGTCGACTTCCCAAAAGACACATCCAGTGTCAAGTTCCGTGCTGTCCAATGGATTTGCACAGAGATTTTGCTAGCATTGGCCGCACTCCTCAACTACCTGCCGCGTATGTTCAGCCCCGAAACTGATTGCGCCTATCCTGTCTCTGTTCAGCTTTGCTTATAGTCCTCCAGCTAGGTTCTTCAGATGGGTGTTCTACTTCTCGTCCTTCATCGTCATGTTGGACTTCTTTCTCAATGTCATCTGGCTGCCGATTGGCGCTGCCAATACATGGGGTTTCCGTACGGCTGAGGAGGCTTTCATGTCCACCTACAACGCCACAGGTGCCCCTGCAGGCTGGAACTGGTGTCTTTCCTACCTCGCCACTGCGGGTATCCTGATCGGTTTTGACGCCTCCGGTCATGTTGCAGAAGAGACCAAGCATGCTTCGGTGACGGCAGCACGTGGTATCTTCTGGAGTACCGTCGTCAGTGGCATTGGTGGACTAGCAACTATCATTTTGTTCCTCTTCTGTGCAGTGAGTTCCGCACCTCCACATAACGATTACCCAACAATCAAATACTTACGTGACCAGCCCGACAACGACACTCTCATGTCCTTCGGCTCCCCCCAGCCTTTCGTGCCCCTCTATGCCGTCGTTCTCGGCAAAGGAGGTCATGTTTTCATGAACGTCATCTGCATAGTTGCATTGTGGCTCGTAAGTTCACCTTCCAACAGCTCCTTCACCCATGTATACACAATACTAAACCACCTTACAGAACACAGCGATCGCCATCGTCGCCGCCTCCCGCCTAGTCTTCGCCGTCGCTCGCGACGGTGTCCTCCCATTCTCCAGCTGGGTCTCCAAAGTCCACAACGGCCAGCCCCGCAATGCCGTCATCGTAGTCTGGGGTGTCTCAGCACTCATCAGCTGCACGCTCCTACCCTCCGATGTTGCTTTCACATCTCTAGTCTCAGCCGCCGGTGTTCCTAGCGCCGCCGCATACGGTCTCATCTGTCTAGGCCGACTCCTCTGCACCCCGAAACGCTTCCCAAAGCCAGAGTGGAGTCTAGGACGCCTAAGCAAGCCGTTCCAATTCATCGGTGTCTTCTGGAACGGCTGGGTGGTAGCTGTGCTATTCTCACCTTACGAATTCCCCGTGACGGGTGCTAATCTAAACTGTAAGACCATTCCCCCTCCCCCACTTCCAACACGATATGTTCTAAAACTTCTGCTTACTTACTCTCCTCCTAACCAGACGCCCCGATCATCATGGCCGGTGTGACCATCTTCGCCCTAATCTCTTACTTCGTCACCCCCGAAAGCGCCTGGTTGCCTATTGACCGCATCTCGCATTTCATCGACAGTAAGGGTGCTGATGTGCACGAATCCGTTGAGGAAGTTGGTAGTGGTGATAATCATCGTCAGCCTGAGGCGACAACGTCTTCCTCAGGGAGGGAGGAGAACTGAGACTATCATCACGAGGCGTGCCTCGCAGTAATTTTTCTGTTGTATTTTACGGTTGGTGGTTGTCGTTGTGATGCTGCTTTTGCGGTTTGTTGATCGGTTGAGATGGTCGCTGACTGATGGATCGAGGGGAGGAAGGCAGGAAAGACTGAACTGCCTGCACCCTCCCTTCCTGATATGTATGGATGAAAAGTTTGCTTTGTATGTAGATATGATAGAACCTAGAAGGATTTGGTGGGGTTTAGGTATACCCAGAGACTTAATGTGATTTGCTTTCAGATGAATTGCATGTGCCTTGCACTATTACTCATAGGTTTAATACATGTGAAGTCATCGTGATATCAGATAGTAATTTTGTTCTATTTCAAGCAATGTGAAGAGCAGATAACTCTCACGGGTGTCAAGCCGTAGTTCTATATATGACTTTCAGTAAGCCCTTTCGGTATCTGTACAACAGTAATCCAACTCCCCCAGTAAGAGAAAAATAAATATAAACACAAATCGATCACCCATAACAGCAAGAATATTCAATCATTTGCAGGAGAAAGTCCCTCACGCTCCTCAAATTCAGATCTAAGGGTCCAGCCCAGCCGAACACCTTAGTTCCCCAATATAACGCCAGTATTACAACGACACTCGGACTCCGTGTTTTCCCCGTTCCGTGTAACTTATGCCCATAATAAATCGTCAGGTACCATATGAAGATGGCTCAGAGCGGCCGTGAATCGCAGTAAAGGTTGAAAGCGAGCCACGAAGTAGCTATGTTCAAGGGAGTAGGATAGAAGAGCGTATATCGTCCATGGTATCAATCCAGCCTTCTGGGAAAGCTCGCTGCTTAAACCACGCTTGTTCCAGTTCCTCGAGGGCCTTGTCAACGTTCTGCAAACCTGTTAGCATTCGTTCGATCATTGATGATATCCGTGTTTGACATACCTTGAACCCGAACCGCTGGAGATCAGTCATGGTCTGCCGCACAAATTTCTGCTCACTCAAGTTCCGTGATTCTCGGCCAGCTGTGAAGAGTGGCCATAGTACCGCCAATTGGCCCACGTCCTTGGCGAGCTTTCCGATCAACGCCAAAATTCGAGTAGCAAGCATGTCTAACAGCACCCTTTGAGGCTGTATATCAGGACGCCCCGCCGCTCCAACCCGATGTAGGAATATATTGGTGGCCTTCTCATATGCTTCGATACATCCGGCATACTCAAGGACATCGGGGTAGGGATATTGTTGCAAGCTCTCATCGTCTAGTTCGCCTAAAGTCTGCAGTGCCTGCGGTGCGTTCAGACGCCATTGCACCAGCCGCTGTAATAGCTCGTGATAAGCCAGGTCTTGTTGTTCGAAGGGCATCAGACCATCTTGTTTCGCTTTTCCAAAGGCACTGATGGCTGCTTGAATCTCCATCATAGCAGACCAACATTGGCGCAATTCCACGAGGTGGTGACTGTAAGCGGGTTGTTCGGCCGATAGGCTTGGTGTACCTAGATTGTATTCCCAGCCACCTCCGTGTGTTGTCCAGTAGCTGCCTTCCACCACGGTTCCCTCGCTGGTGGCACAGGCACCCGCAACGTCTAAGTATGAGAGCAGTGATACGAGGAAGGGTCGAAGTGGGTGATTGATTTCAGCGAGGCGCTTGGCTTCTTTGTCGGGGTCGTCATTGGGGGTGAAAAGTATTCGATAGATTTCTCGGGCACCCTTCAGATGGATAGCCCAATTGTGATGTTGAGAATCCATCATCTGATAAATTAGCAATGTGCTCTCTAGGCCCGAGTGAACAACAAGGGACTCACCTCAAACAGTGACAGTAGAAGGCAGGTGGCGAAATCAGTTAGCCGCACGGTGTGATTGGGGTCTGTATATCGGGTTCTGAATGACTTGACAACCTCGCCATAATTGCTCATGGCTTGTTGGAAGTGCTTGTTTCGCTGTTGTCCTCTGGATGTATTGGCAAGGTGCAACGCACCCATGGCTTGCATAGCGCTGGCCATTGACGTTGAGGATCGAGCGAGCTCAGGGAAGAATCTTCGGTAGGGGTTGATATTGTTCGAATTATCATAGATGAGGAGTAAAGTAGAGACCTGGTCAACGAAATGAGTGTAATACCGGCCTTCGACGCAGTCCAGAGACGACGACAAAAACTCGGCAGGAGAAATGGGTTCTTGGAAGCGATATTTGATAGGCTTCATGTCGGACACTGTCGTTGGAGACACAATTAAGGTTTCGAAGGACTCATTCTCGTCTCCTGCCGGTTCCTGCTTCACTTTATTGTCCCCTTCGATCTTGATCTTTTTGTCGCATTTCTTGGCAGTGGCGGGAGACGAATCCGCTTGCGGCGGTCCGTAGACTTTGAAGGTCATGCGACCTTGAGTGCCATCACACTCAAGACCCAGGCGTGTACAGTTTTTGCAGGATGGCGATGCTTCGTCGCAGCGGACGTGGCGTCGACGACATGTCGAACAGCCTGTAAATCCTCGGTGATGCCATCGACGGACCCGCTTTCTCTTCTCAGGCGCAGCGGCTGCGGAAAGCTGGGGTTGTGCGGGGGGAAGAGGCTTCCCCGGCGCACAAACCAACGTATGAACCTCCATGTGTAGGAGATAATGCTAGATACGAGTAGACGGTGTGGGGTAGCGACATGAAGGTGAGTGAGGGGCGGAGGTGTCCGACCAGATAAAATCGAGGTCAGACAGCGGATGTCGATATTATACCATCTAGCAGAAGCCAGTGGCGCAAGAAGAAAGAAGTCTCTGGAATCAGAATATCGATAGAGAAGATGAACGGGCGATGGAGCAAATCAATGGAAGCCGAAAGGGTGAGCGAGGAGTCGAAAAGGATGCCGAAGCACTGGCGATTAGTAGCCGTAGCAATAGGTAGTAATTAGTAGTTGAACGGAGAGCAGTGGTAGTGACCACTAGTTACTTAGTAAGTTAACTAGATGATGATCGGATTATTAAGTATGGGGGGGCAAATGAGGGAGAACCAAAAGAGCAGGCGGCGAGATACTGGAGCCAGTGGGGCTCCAGACGGTCGGGCATTTGGAAATTTGGGGGAAAAAGAGAGAGGATGGGAAGAAGGGGGGAGGAAAAGGCGAACTGAACTGAACACTTTCGCGGCTGATCGAAAGATAGTCCTGGCCTAGCCATCCCACTCCTCTTTTGCAGATCAGATCATCCACCACATCCTCCTGTTCGGTGTAGCTACAATCTACGCCACGAGAGAAGTTCCCTCGAGACAATACTACTTTTCTTGTCAAACAACCCATCAGTATCCCGGTGTAAAGGATATCCCCCTCGTCTGTTTCAATTACGGGTGAGCGCAATAAACGACGGGCGCTGCTGATCGACCCTAGTGGTGGATCATATTTACTCTCTAGCCCTCCGTGCTGCGGTGCCTACTGCACTTCCTGTCTAATGATCTGATTTCCTTCGGTACCTCTCTAGCTAGCCTAACTGGTCTGGCGGCAGGATAACCTTTTTTCTGCACAAGAAAATCCCGCATCGACGGCCGTCCAATTGCGAAGAGCAACTGTATGGTACCTCGAAACCTTCCGAGCGATTCCTGCATCGAGTGGCCTTCCTCGTCTTCCAGATCCCCACTCGATCCACTCACGATGATTGCAGTAGAGTGGAAGAGCCACGATGCAGCATGCGGAGGGGCCTGCTACTGGGCGAATCCCGTAGCCAGAATTCTCCGCCTTCCCCCCTGACCAGTGGCATTGGCATCTGATAATTAGTAGCGAAAGGGAATCGCTAGAGTGACCCGGCCCAAAAGGATTCGCCCAGGAGCCACTAACTCCCGACTATCTCGGTTGCCAAGCACCTGAATGGAACCTTCTCGCCTGCCACTTTACCGGTTCCAGCGGCCTCCTCGTGCCTTTTCATTCGAGACCGTACATAAGTATGTAGCCTGGGGATACCATTTCAGTATCTTCCCCCCTGCCATAAGGATTCCGTGGTAAGCTCAATCAAGTTAATCCGGTTTGCAAAGGGGAAACATGATTGGGCGTGCTGCTGCTGGCCTGTCGAACCATGCAATGTCTCAGTTTGCTAGGCCTCTTCACTCGGTCAACAGGAAACGAACGCTCAACGCCCGTCGACTCCCGAGTGTACCTGCAAGTAGATGACCCCTTGAAAATCTCGTCTCCATGTGTGTGTGGAACGGGTGGTCCCGCACCCCATGAGCTACTGGCAGGCTGGCAGCGTCAAATGAAAATACGAAGAACAGTAGAGATGGCCCTGCACATCCGCTCACCAGTCAGCTCATTTTACACGCAGATCATTGGTGACGTTGCTAGAGGTCTGTGTGCCACTGGGAACCCAGATGATGGTCGATGAGAACCGGTCTGTCTGTGGAGTGGTTCTCCTGGGTCATGTTCCGTGGATCTGCCAAAATCGAGGAAACTGGATGGGATTTTCCCGACCATTCGCTTAGCTGTAACTTCCCACGTCTGCTGACGGTCTAGTCAGTCAACTTGGCAGATAATTTTTCCTCGCTGAAATATTTGGAACGTGTCTTGGTATTGCGATATGGCGCGGAGAGCTACTCCTTCAGGATAAACGATGTGTTGGACGGTTTCAGTTTCATGTCGCGGCGGGATTCCGAGCTCAGTAAACTCAAAGCTACGACGAAAGCTAGGCAACATGGAGGCAATCGGGAGTAGATCACCTCTCAAGCCCAGACCATTAACGAGCACGCACTCTGACAAAATGCACGAAAGGCTGTGTATCTGTGGGAGGTACCAAGCACATGCACGGTTGACAGGCCAAAGTACCTACTGATTAAGCAACTATGCACACTCTAGTCAATCTGTTCCTGATTACACTGGTAGACATTGCAACTCTGTAATCACGCAACCTTGACAGTGACATGAAATTGATGGGCGAACAGCTGAGTGCGATTATCATGCGATGTTCGCATTGTCATGCCCAAACAGGTGGTCGGCCACTGCGCCATTATTTGGGCAATATGGGATGAATGTCCATTTGTTGATATGGAAATATGAGTGGGGTGCCTAGCATAAGCGTCGCATTACACCGATGCTTCGACGCATGTTCTTAAGCCAATTACTGCTCTCAGGTAGGCAGATCTCATGCTGGTCGGATGGCTGTATGAGAATACCAGGTTGACCGTTTACATCTCTCGGCCGATTTATGAATGACATTTCAATTCATCCTGTACAATTTACGGTGCATATCCTCTACTTAATTGTCTGCTAAGTAGAAATGGCTTATATGTACAACTCCGTACATGTGGTGTTTCATTCATACGTGCAGTGGTGGAAGCTGACCGGTAACTGCCTACTATGCTGGTCTACTGATGAATCCTTGCTCCGTGGTATGATCCTTTAATATGATCTTGTGGATATTTGCCTTTGCTTATCAGGCGAGATAGCTTTAGTTGTTGCCGCATCGTACGCAAACTAACTTCAGGGTTTCGAGTGTCCGTGTCTTTTCTGGTCGATTTGGGGCATAGTGCTGATACTATATATTATTCCCGCAACAAATGTACATCGAAGCGCCCCAACGCCGTGACTAACAATCACTATACAAAAGCAGTGCGTCAATAGTGCTCCCAACGGTATTCTCATGCATCAAACTTAATAGTGACCACCGTCTTCTTTCACATCCCGTCTCCTTTTCGTCATCCATAAATAGCCGCGTGGCAAAACACCCAACCTTATCATACCCATACCATTGCTTCAACTTAATTTAAAACCTAGGACACGCTGTACCTGCCCTACCTGTATACGAGACGCCAAAAGAATAATCCAGGTCATGAGTAGCCATGGGACATGATGAAGCCAAGTGATCAGCTTGCCACAATGCCTTGAAGTCGGGATGGGTCGTACCGGCTAGACAACATTGCAGGGCGGTTGCCAAATGTTAACCTACTGGAAAAAAGTGAAATAGTACGGTCTCAACCGCCTATCACTATTTCCTCTGGGCGGAGATCTTGCAGACCATCGGCTGGTTAAATTCGATGTCAAACCTAATGGATAATCAATCTTACGCCATGCATAAAGTAACTCCAAGGCATTCCCGTCCACCATGAGTCCATCAAGACAAGCCGATTACATAACAACAGCCCGGATGGTCTAGTGGTATGATTCCTGCTTCGGGATTTGAAATGCAGGAGGTCCCGCGTTCGAATCGCGGTTCGGGCCCGTAATTTTTTATCTCGTTTATTCGTCCATTGTCACATGACTTTCCCCATGTGACTTCCGCTTGCAATTGCCCGTTTTGTGTGTTGACCACTCCTAACGCGACGGACAGATCTCTGTGGTAACCAATCTACGTGCTGGCACTTGTGTCTGCCTATGATACATGCTCAGCAATATGTTTCATAAGTTAGCCCGGATGGTCTAGTGGTATGATTCCTGCTTCGGGTCTTGAAATGCAGGAGGCCCCGCGTTCGAATCGCGGTTCGGGCCCTACTTTTTGCCTTTTGTTTTGCCTTCTCTCACATGCGACCTAGTTCGCCTACCCCTTTCCTTTGCCTACTCTCTCTCTCTCTCTCTCTCTTTCTCTCTGTCTCTCTCCCTTTTTTTTTTTTTTTTTTTTTTTTTTTTTTTTTTTCGGGATTTTTTTTTTCTTTTTGCTTCTCTCTGTCTCTCTTTTTTTTTTTTTTTTTGTCTTTTACAAGCTGATACCATTTCTTCAGTGCACTGCCACTCTGTGACAGATCCTCAATGAGAACATTATTAAGTAATCCAAACTTTATAACTAACTAACTATACTAGTTACCATCTTTGTATGATACTTGCATACAGGAGGCTAACCTACATTCGATTTACATGTACCTTGCTGGCCAACAATCATGCATGTAACCTTCATCTTGCTTACTTAGTAGATCTATATATGGTGTTTACGGTCATGATTCCCCCAAGAAAGCTCACATATTCGTCCTCACTTGCTGCTGTCTACCAATCCTACCATTTCGTGTACCAGAGCACCGTGGCATCACCATACCATGTCTTGCTTCCAGGTGCGTGAAAATAGTGTAAAGGAACCTAAATCGGAGTAGTATAAGCTTTTTACATGCAAGTAGTAGAAGGTGCCAAGATGATCAGAACACTAACTATTCTAGACTAGTCCCGAGTATGACCTTGGCCTGTCTAGAGAGAAGATGGCAACATATCTAAACTTTCCATGATCTACTAAGAGCTCCGCCACGATTATCTTCATGTAGGCCTACCCAGGTAAGCACTACGTTCGTGTTCGTGTTGCTTTAAAATTACCTCGAAGAGACGGGACGATCATGCAAAGGTTTAGACTTTAGATAGATAGACAGGTGAAGGAAGATGAGTGGGACCATGAGATTAGAAATGAGGAAAAAAAGAAAACAAGTTGAGTGGGTATCTGCTGGCAAACCAGAAACTCAAATTGCCCGCCAGAAGTAGTAGGAAATCAACATCAACATGCATCAGTGATCGTGAGAAAATGGCAGCGCATCCCAGGTAAGAAAGGCAGGCAGGGAAGTAGGTAGAGGTAGCCTGTTGTTGCTTAGACCTGAGAAGTAACTGTCCTTGAGTAGATAGTAGTCATGTCCAAACCGGCAATAATTTACAAGTAAACCATAACGACGAAAAGTGCACCAGAGAATGATGGAACTGCAGGAGGTGGACAATCGATGACAGGAAATGAACAATACCCTCCAGACCGATCAGGCATCCACGGATACCGTCGGACCAGGAATGGGGAATGTGGCCGACTCCCTGGCCTCTGGCTCTGGTGACTCGGCTCCTGCAGCCTTCCCATTCATTCGATCGAATTCTAGTGTTTCAGCCAGCTCTGCGGCCATTGGATCTAGATCTTCCTCTTTGAGGCCGGTGGCAAGTGCTACCAACTTGCGATGGACATCGAATTTAGTGCTTACACCCGCATCCGCCGTCTGTTGGACAAGATCCTTCACGGCTGCGCGCCGAGCCTTCTGAGCAGAGCACAATTGACGGGCCATATGATATGTGCGAAGTTGTTGGTCCTGGTCAGATCCCGTATCTTCCTTCTCGGGCACTGGCGTTGATGCGATCCTCTCTCTGAGTCGAGCCTGGTGAATTTGCTCCAAGACGGATTCGTAGCTATGTCTTAATTGTTCGTAGCGGTCCAGCTGCGCGTCGATTGACTCTTCTTCGGCTTCTTTCGCCACCAGCATACTAACCTGTTTCTGAATCTTTTGCCGATCCGATTCAAGTTGCGCATAAAGTGCCTCCGGATTCGCAACATCGTCTGAATCTTGCTGGTTTGCCTTGGAGCTCCCGTAGCCTGCGGTGAGTTTCCTGTTCGCCTCGGCCATTATGACGGCAATCTTAGACATTAATGCCGAGGTAGCAGGGGAGGAATCCTGCGGAAGGCTGGGAGGCTGGTGATCTGATGTGACAGGTGCTGTGACGTCGGGATCTAATTGATCATTACCCATCGTGATAGACGAAGGGGGAAGAGGGACGTCGCGCTCATTAGGTGGTACCCGTCGGACGATAGTTGAGGCTGCCTCGCCTTTATTGTTTATAAGCTCACCAGATCGCGGACACCGAGCGAGTAGTAGGTCAACCAAACGAAACGCGCCATTTCGAGCAGCAATCAGAGCAGCAGTGTCCCCATTCTGATCTTGACAAGACAGCAATAAATCAACTTCCTCAGCCGAGAACGTAACGCGTAGCTTGTCTAGCAATACTTCGCAGTAATATCGCGAGCTCTTCCATTTGCCTTTGCTCCGAGTAGTCTCTGCTATGTGGTGGAATAGAGTGGCGCCGAACCAGTCTCGGAATGAGACTGTGTCCAAGAGAAGATCTAATAGCGGTGGAAACGTCCTCTTCTCATAATTGTTCGTGAACAGCACGGCACGCACGAGGGGTGTCTCCTCCTGTTCAGATAGTGCTTTGATATTTGCCCCTCTCCGTAGTAGATCTCTCACAATCTCCAAGTCACCCATGGCGCATGCCCAATGGAGAGCAGTATTTCCAGATTCGTCAATCGCGCGATCGACCTGGAAGTTGGCAGGCGGTTGTGGGGGAGGAATGCGTGTCGCTTCCGGTGCATCCCCTACTGTCATGAAATAATCCAACAACTGATCACCATAGAGTATGTGTTCCTGTTCACTAATTGAGATTGCTGGGGCCTCGTTTATCCCACGCTTGCGCTTTCGTGAGTATGTACCATTTTGAGACATTGCCATAATCTCATCATCCGCGATCATAGACGATGACTCAAGCGTTGCCTGTTCTAAAGATTCATCCTCGTCGAATCCTTGGCTCATTTCATAGGGCTCATAGGGATGATAGGCGGGCGGTGCCATACTTCGGTGCGGTTTTACAGCAGGGACAACCTCTTCATTCGCGACTCTCTTGTTTGTATTCTTTGGGGCTCTTGGCTTCGACGAGGCTGCAGTGGTATGTTTCGGGGCAGGTGGTGGACTGCGATCTCCAGCAACGTAGTCGAATATCGGCCTTAGCTTGTCGATTATGTTGTTGCGCTCAGCGAGCATGCGGCCCTCAGGAAGCGGAATCCATGTCCCTGCACATAGTTGTAGCGCGGCAAAGCGATGCAATATTGGGAATGCTAATAAATCTCACCTTGATATTTCCCATAGCCACCTTGCACCTTTTCATGGACCCCTTTCTGCACCTCGCGTTCCAGGATGCGAGTCCTCGCAGGCTTGTCAAACCCGGCAACTTTCAGAATATGTGTAGCATTTATCCAGTCATCGGAACGCCTTCGCATGACACTGTCACCGTCGATTTTGAACTCATAAACCGGGACCTAGCCACCAGTGTTAGATTGCTGTCACAAGCCTGCGCACGGTGTTGTTCAACACGCCTCAAAGGACAAGGTCTTTGCAATACCAGAAAGGGCAAGATGAAGGAGTACTCACACTGCTATAAGTAGCAGAGTAAACTTTGGAGAAGTCCACGGCCGCCATGATGTGCCTCTTGTAAGCCGATTTGATTTTGCGAGGTCCGTACAACAATAGGATGTTTCCGAGCGGCGTCGCGACTCTGACACTAGGACTTAGGAGCCTAAACTTGGCTACCGCAAGGCATCAATTTCAGATATTATATGTTGTCTCAGTCAATCACATGAATCTCAGTAGAAAGCGAGCCGGGTTGGTCGTAGCCCAGCAACATCTATCTCAACACGCGACGGATGGCAGGGCTGGACAAGACGCGCTCCGGATACGTTGACCGCGTAAAGTGGATTTGGATGCGCTAATCCCGTTGTGGAATCAATAACACGTGATATCACATGACTTATCGTCCGGAAGGAACGACGACTGCGGATAGCTGCAAACCTCACAGCCCAGTCGCCTATCCTTGGAATAACCTTCAATTGAGTCACCCCCTCGTGCCAAGATGACCGCCGCCGAGTCTGTGAAGAGTGCCGTTGGGCTTGCGGACAACACCGGTATGTAACTGTTGCCATTGGTGTCTATTATGACGGAAGGCAGTGGTGTGAAAGTTGGCACCCGATGATCAACGACTAACGCTTGTATTTAGCTGCCTCCCGTCAGGAAATGTCGGATGCCCGTCTTCCCCTCCAGTACCGCGACTCTTGCGCTGGCCTTCTGATCCCATTGAACCGCTGCCGACAGCAAGAGTACTACCTTCCCTGGAAGTGCGAGGTGCGTTGCTTCCACACGAGTTTATCCATGAATTGCTGTTCCTCTTGTCGTGTATGTAACTAATGTCATGCCTATTTCCACCCAATAGGACGAGAGACACAGCTACGAGAAGTGCCAATACGAGGAGTTCAAGAAGCGCGTTGCTAAGATGGAAGAGCTCCGCGCCGCTAAGGGTGGTGCCCGGAGCAACTAATGATACCACAAATATCGGCACGGCATTCGAGACGAGCGAAGGAGCGGGTTATGTACATAGAGATTCTGAGATTGTTTGTCCATGCACCGACATTGGCGTTGGGAATCATCCAAGTCTAGGCTTGCCATCACCACACCTGCGAGAACCAGAACGGTCGATTGGCTAACCAGTAGCACCAACCGTACTTTTGGGGGTTATTCGGATCTGACCCTGCTTATGAGGTCAGGGTGTCCAAATCATTAGCCACCCTCCATCGGAGAAACAGCACAGGTTTCTTGAGGCCGGAGAGGACTTAGATTTACCCCACCTTCCAACTTTGCAACATGATGAGAGTGACGCATTGTCAAGTGGGATTACCATCAAATATTTGAGACTTTGTCCACGAGTGTCATAAGGTCACAGCTCAATGGCAGCCAGATACAAATCCAGCCATAGCGCAACTCCCTGGAGACAATGATAGATGTGTAAAGAGCTTCCAGTATGCTTTCAATTGGTCATGATGTTCTCCGTGCCTCCTTTCACGGACTATATTGAGACAGATGACCATCTATACTTATCTGCCTGCCCTCCATACACATCGGCGGCCGCGGAGCAACTGATAGCAGATATCACATGACCTGTAATCCTCCACGCTGCTTAGAAATCGGCGGCATTGATAATCGCCGAACACTGCTTACTGCCCCGCCCGGCCTACCAGAAATGGGGGGAATAAGTTTCCCGGCCACCAATAGGCGGTTGAGCCTTTGAACCCGAAGGTTCGACAGAATTTCTTAAAGTCGGCAGGGTCAGCATTTTGTTCATATTTCCTTTAAACGTTATCTGCTGCTGTTGTTGTCCGTGTAAAGCCGCTCCGAGCGTGTCTTGAAGTCACGACATTGCGTGCCACTGACGTTGGCTTATTCTGCCGTGGTTCGGAGATACTGCCGGGAAAGTTCCCCTCATCTCCGCGGGGTTTCTGGATGGCCTGATCTTCAAATCTTTACTTCACCCAAAGCCACAGAAATTCTTGGAACCTCAGACTGGGATTCGCAATTAAAAGTTCCAACTGTCTGGTGTTGACAACATGGGCTTGCTGTAGGTGGAGTGTGCTGGGTCAAAGCCGGGTTTCATTGATGCGCAAAAACTAACATTGGCCGTTCCTTCAGAGCGCTTGGGACGGCTTTGGACTGGCCAGAAGCCAAAAAGAGGGCAGATCAGGTTCGCAAATGGGGAATTGAGGTAAGACTTGAATTCGTGTTGATTTACTCGCAATCATGCACTCTAGCCAAGGTTCTTTTCTGACCGAGTTAGCAATTACTTGCCAATTGGCATAGAGCCAAGGGAAAGGAACGGAATGCCCTTCTCTGGGGTGACGAGGTAAGTCGCAAGGACTCTATAAAACTTATCTACAATGGTCGCTAATTGTCCATTCTTCGTTAGGTCGAGTATCTCGTCGTAGCAGTCGATGATGAGATTAAAAAGGCCCGCCTATCTCTCGCTCAGGCTGATATCCTCAAGTCGCTCGCCGAGGATGAAGCATCATGGAAGGAAGGAAATTCTCCTCTGTCTCAGAATAAGGAACAGTGAGTTCGGACTGGTTATTTTGGACAACGCGAGAAGAGGGTCTCTGACGGATCTTAGTGAGGGTGAGGAGCCACCTCATTTTCACCCTGAATTTGGCCGTTTCATGCTGGAAGCCACTCCGGGTAAGCCCTGGGGCATCGACTTCAAGGACCTATTGAAAGTAGAGTCCAATATGAAGTGGCGGTAAGTTCGTGGTTTCGCGGGTATGTAATAATGTCTCTAATGAACGTATAACAGACGCGAGGTTGCAAAAGCTCACATGGCACCGAATGAGAGCCCTATCACACTCACCACATTCCCTCGCCTGGGGACAAAGGATGATTATATTCAACCTTATTATCCCCCATCAGGTCCTGCATTGCGGTCTCAATTCGTTCCCGACGAGATTGCTAACCCCCATATTCGATTTCCAACCTTGGCGGCCAATATAAGATCAAGGAGGGGCCGGAAAATCGAGCTGAATGTGCCAGTGTTTAAGGACAAAAACACCCCTGATCCCTTTTTGGACCCAACAGTGGACTACAACCTTCATAACTGGCCCGAGGATGATGATGTCCGAAATGGCGCGGCTAAGGAGGGTCATGTTTACATGGACGCCATGGCATTCGGCATGGGGAGTTGCTGTCTCCAGATAACTTTTCAAGCAAAGAACATGACAGAAGGAAGAAAGTTGTACGATCAGTTGAGTCCGTTGGGGCCTATTCTTTTGGCTCTCACTGCTGCCACTCCGATATACAAGGGTTTCCTCGTCGACACAGATGTCCGTTGGAATCAGATCAGCGGAGCCGTTGATGACCGGACGCGGGAGGAACTTGGTGAAATTGTAAGATTCCAATATTCTGCCTTGTTTGTTCCTCCGTCCCAAGAACTCTATTGACATCATGCAGCCCCTGAAAAATGATAGATGGAGGATCCCGAAATCCCGTTATGCTTCGAACTCGACTTATATCTCACAAGATCCTAGATTGAGAAAAGAATATCTGGATCCCGATCTTATCGTTGACCAAGATATCAAGAAGCGATTGATGGATGATGGCATGGATGATCTTCTAGCGACACATTTCGCGCACCTTTTTATTCGTGATCCACTGGTTATATTCTCGGAAGATCTCGAAGAGCTGGACTTGAACAAAGCAGATCACTTCGAGAACCTGCAGTCGACAAATTGGCAGCATATGCGTTTCAAGCCACCCCCACCTGACAAGGATGATATCGGCTGGCGAGTTGAATTCCGATCCATGGAAATCCAGATGACCGACTTCGAGAACGCCGCCTTCAGTATCTTCATCGTGCTTGTGACCCGTGCGATCTTGAGTTTCGATCTCAATTTCTACATCCCGATTCAGCGCACGACTGAGAACATGGAAACTGCGCACCTTCGAAATGCAGTGTTGGAGCAAAAGTTCTACTTCCGCAAAGACCCTTTCTCTCGTCGCAGGCCGACCCAGCAATCGCCAAGTGGTAGCAATGTCTCCTCTACGACATCATCTGCTCATAACACGCCACCGCCATCACCGCCACTACACCCAGTGGAGTCTGAGTATGATCTAATGACGATTTCTGATATTATCAACGGTTCCCCTGACGGATCATTCCCTGGCTTGATCCCGCTCGTCGAATCTTACTTGAACAGTGTTAATGTGGATGTTGAGACACGTTGTTCTCTAGCCAGCTACCTTGACCTTATACGTAAGCGTGCCAACGGTACCCTTTGGACTGGAGCCAAATGGATCCGTGAGTTTGTTGCGTCACATCCTGGGTATAAGCATGACAGCACCGTTTCCGAAGAGATTTGCTACGACTTGGTCAAGGCTGTGGATGAGATGACTGTCAAAGAAGGTAAACACGGTACAGTTGGGTGGGAGCTCCTCAGAGGCAAGAAGAATTAGATGGTTGAGAGATATTTTCGCATATAGATGTAGATAGCGTGCTCTCCATAGTCTTCTACAGTGAAGTGAACATAATTAGATTTTTTTTTGTCAGCTGACTGAATTGGTAGGTCCCCGAGGACATCCAAGGATACTCAAAGGACACAGTAGATACAACTCTCGTTTCTCTTAGTGCTTCTTCGATGGTATTCCTTCGCGTTCCCCAACGTGCTCCGCAAAAGGACGGCGGCTGACGACCATGTGATCCATCAATCAACTATAGAGTTAACTTTCCTTTCTTGGTCTTCATTCAAACACAGCCCCGTTCCTCCAAAGGTCCAAACTCCTCAATACGTCATACAGGCATCTCTTGCTTCTGGCCACTATGGCAACAACAGCTTTTCTTCCTCTGTTGGCTGCCGACATGAATCAGCTAGCCCTGTCACTTTCCACACACCGTTGACTTTGTGAAGAATAAAAAGCTCAACGCCTACATGATGCACGACTCCATTGACCTTTGCCCGAAAAGGTGCCCATACTGCAGCCATGTTTCCGGGAGAGTATACCTTCACCTCTGGATCCCAGATGCGCTCGTCGATTTCGTCCTGAATACGTGTCACTTGCTCCACGAAAGCCCCAATGGTACAGAAGCGAGGAAGGGTGGGAGATGGTGGCCAAACAGACATTCCTCCTGCTCGAACACAGTATTTCTCGAAGTCGACGGGGTTTTTGGTCCTCAGTGCGGCCAAGAATCCTTGAATGACAGCCATGACAGAGTCAACTTCATCGGAAGGTTCGGGCAAGCTTGCCAGGGCGACCGCTTGGCTTGGTATTATCCAATGCATACTTGATGCCTTTGAAGAGAATTTGTGAGGAGTTGTGTCGACTGATGTGCAAACTCTGCTTCCATCGTCAGGACAATCAAATTTTGGTGAAAAGAGCCTCGTCTTCAGTTACGCACCTGGAGGAATTCAGAAGGAGTCCACAGTTCAGTATATTCCTTTCCTTTGCCCCAGTCTACTGGCATGATATGCAGTTTACTGTTCTGGCAAACATCCAGGCTAAGAGCCATTGAAAGGTCTTCTAGGTATTAGGCAGAGAGAGAGAGCATATATTTGCAATCAGGCCATGGCCAACTGTTCAAGACACTGCATCATTTAAGCAGCTTTCATAACAAAGCCTTAGATGAAAAATGCCTGTAGTGGCAGTACTTTGATATAAGGACAACAAGCCAGCTGAACGTGTTACCGTTACAATGCCAATGATGGGTCTGTTCCACGAATATACCGCTCGCTCCCGTCAGTGCGTGAGAGGGCCATGGGAAGCTTTCACATCCTCCTGAGAGTACCTAATGAACTTTTGGACTGCAAGTCAACGGAACAGCATTATATTTCCTTTTCTGACCACCTTCTGCTTTGCACCATCGGTGTTGGATGGGCCTCTCGGAGTCGGGCCCATTCAGGATAGAGCCAGCCCAGCTCATATGCTTGTCCGACAGGACACCATAATTCATCACGCCCTTCTCAACATGACCTCTCGTGCGACTCTAGCCTTGGTGGAGAAGTTCTCGCCCGGGTCCCTTTCTGTCCGTGTGCAACAAGAAGAGGGTCTTGCACCCGGACGAGCTAACCTCTACAAGCAAAGGATTGCTCGTCTGTCATGATTACAAAGCTAGCCTGTGTCAATGACCATAGTCTAGTGGAGTCACTTATACTGCGGATAGAAGAAAAGGAGAATTTTGCCTAATAACGGCCACACAAGTAATTGGGTGAGATCAGAAGCACGACTCTCTGAGCCTAAATATGCATTATGCACCTGCCAATTTTGGGCACTAGCGGTGAAGCGATCCGCATGTCTCTTTTCTCTCTGGTGTTTCGCCTGCTATTCCCATCTTTCACAACACCTCTCTGTATAGCGTCTGCAATTCTCTCGAGTCTGCTTCAAGGTGTCAACTCGAACTAAATCTATTCATTTACCTTATATACGGATGTGCCTCAACTGGGCTCTTTGCGAGCACTAGCAAATATATTGCGCTGGCATGGTGTCAGTCCACGTTGCCACAAGCACACCGTGAATTGTGCTCATCCAGCCGTCGCGTGAAATTACCTTCCGGAAGGCCCCATACAACTCACGCTCCGGCAAAACAATCGGCATGTCTACAAATCAAGACTCGGCATTTGGGCGTCCTCGATCTGCCATGTTTACCATGAGGTCATTGTGCCAGCTGTGTCCTATGACTCTATAGCTCCACACTTCGGCCGACAATCCTACCAGGAGCGTGTTATCATATGGCGGTTGAGCCTTCAGAACCGTTGTTCCCCGCATTCCTCATCCCATGCTCTCCCGGCAGAACCCCGGAGACAACCCACACTAATGCACCCAAAGCAAAATGACATGGATTGAATTATCCGGGGTGCATCCATCCTTGTTCCCCCACACATTGGACCCTTTCCTTATAATGGCTGCCCCGGCAAACCCCCAATTGCTGTTTAGGCCAGCGCAGATAGCAAATCTCTCGTCTGATTAACGATGCTAAAGCTCGCTGTTGCTCTTTTTTCGTTACTTGCCGTGGGCAATGCAGCGCCAACCAAAGTGGCCCGTTCCACGGCCAGTCCTACGGCCAAGGTTCGCAACGGTACATATGTCGGAGTGACAAATGCGCATTACCAGCAAGATTTCTTTTTGGGAATGCCGTATGCCCAGCAGCCTTTAGGTGACTTGCGCTTCACGGTGCCTCAGTCCCTGAACGAAAGCTGGAGTGGCGAGCGCGACGCGAAGGAATATTCCAATATCTGTGTAGGATACGGTGTGAGTGCGCAAATCTTCTTCGAGAGCCAGGCCCTACTAGCTGCATCCTGGCACTATGAATATAATCTAATGGGTAGATCTGTTAGACCGACTCGATTTGGTACCCACAGTCCGAAGCTTGTCTAACCTTGAATGTCATCCGCGATTCTTCTGCAAATGAGAACTCGAAGCTCCCCGTGGGCGTCTGGATATATGGAGGTGGCTTCTTTGAGGGATCTAGTGCTGACCAGCGCTACAACATGTCCGCGATTGTTGCCAACTCCTATAAGATCGGTATGTCGACGTATGCGGTTGTAGAATTAGACTGACTTGGCTTGCTCGCATTGTAGGAAAGCCGTTCATTGCTGTCAGCTTAAACTATCGCCTTTCGGCATGGGGCTTCTTGAGTTCCAGTCAAGTCTGGGGCACTGGCAATACCAATCTAGGTATCAGGGATCAAAGGTTAGCACTCCATTGGATCAAGGAGAATATCGCGGCATTCGGAGGAGACCCAGATAAGATCACTATCTGGGGCGAATCTGCCGGAGCGATGTCCGTGGGTTATCACCTTGCAGCATACGGCGGTAGGGACGATGGACTCTTCCGTGGAGGAATTATGGAGTCAGGAGGGACTATTGCAGCTAGTCCAGCCAACTATACCGGGTACCAAGCGCTCTATGATGAGCTCGCGGGTCAAGTCGGTTGCTCCGACGTAGTAGATTCGTTGCAGTGCCTGCGCGAAGTTCCGTTCGAGAAATTGAACGCTGCTCTCAACACCACCAGTGGTAACTCGGATTTCAATTTCGGGCCCGTCATTGATGGAGATATAATCAGGGACTGGGGCAGCCTCCAGCTAGACAAGCATGAATTCGTCAAAGTCCCTATTCTTGCAGGTACCAATACCGACGAAGGGACAGCCTTTGGGCCCACAGGTATCAACACGACAGAGGAGTTCTATGCATATCTCACAGGTATGTGTGATAATGAGTTAACATCCTGAAAGAACCCCAGAGCAGCAAAACGGGCTAATCTCACGGGCAGATGGCGAATCTGGATTCCAGCTACCCCCCACGATCGCCCAGGAAATCCTGCAGCTCTACCCTGATGATCCAGCACTGGGCATCCCCGAATTTCTCGGTGACACTAGAGTCCCGTCCAAAGGCTACCAATGGCGGCGCACCTGTGCATACGCAGGGGACTATGTAATGCATGCCAACCGTCGCCGACAATGTGAGGCGTGGACAGAGACCTCGACGACGGCGTACTGTTATCGATTCAATATGCGTGCGGCCGATGTCCCCATCCTGTCTGGCGCCACCCATTTTGAAGAAGTTGCTTTTGTATTCAACAACATTGCAGGACTCGGGTACCATTACGGAAAGCCGTTCGCAGGGATGCCCGAGTCCTACGTACAGCTAAGCAACTTGATGACCAGCATGTGGGCATCCTTCATCCACGATTTAGACCCTAATTCGGGCATCAAGGACTCAGCTGTACAGTGGCAACCGTACGGGAAGGATCAGCCGGTTGATCTAGTGTTTGATGCGAATGTCACGAGCTACAGCTACATGGAGCCAGACACGTGGCGGAAGGAGGGGATCGACTATATCAATTCCGTGGCCAACGCGTACTGGCGATAAGCTTCATGCTATCGAAAACACATGTGATGAGCGTGAGAGTTTTTGCCTTCCGCTTGATGTTGCCTGCGAGAGGAAAAGGTTAAGGCAAACAAGGATGGTAGGGGGTGCGAGCGCATCTAAGTCGGCCACGGTAGTTGATTGATGGTTCCCTCGTTAGAAGCAAATACAGATGCCATACTTCCTGCAACAAACCCAGAACTTGTTGTAATCAAGTTTTTTCAAACGGATGGTAGATCGGTTCCGATTTGTAAAAAGCAAGATCCTAGCGTTACGAGGGAACCAAGACACCCACACAGAGGAGCATTACGAATTCCAAATTACCAAAGCCTGTATAACAAAAACCAGCAGAGACCGCCTAATTAGTCAACTACAGCATTGGTTCAATGTACCTGCAAGGACCTTTACACGCGTGGTCACCCATGTACCAAGCCAAGCCAACGGCCAAGACACGGAAATAACCAAGAGGAAACCACTCCCTCCAAGAATCAAGAACCCAGGGGGTCAAGAGAATCTGGAAGCGATAAAGGGGTCTTCTTTTTTTTCTTTGCTTACCTAGAGAGGGAGGAGTCGGCGTTCATCGTCAATCAGTAGAGTGTTCTCCGCCCTGAGTGGTGTAGTCTATATCCGGACCATCGGGGACATGATTATCATACGATCCATAACCAAGTCCCCGATTGTACTACGGCTACCCAAACTAGAATGATGAAAATATTGGAGTACGAAAGGAACTAAACCAATACTAAGAAAAAAAAAAAGAGTAAAGAAAAAAGAGTAAAAAACCAAGCTCGGAAAGTAAAAATTTCCCCTGGTCTTGTTGTCATTCCCCTACCTATTGAGAACCGGGTTCACCAATGACAGCGGATCCCCGATTTGACATCGATGGGGACCCTCTCCCCTCTCTCCCCGTGGCTGTCATGGAGGGGAGAAGAGGGGGGTTGTTGTGTGTGGAAGAGGGAAGCTGTCATATCCTTTCCCATTGTGGATAGGCCAGCCAGGGGTCCCCCTCGGGGTCTATTCTCCCTTTCGCTTTTCTGTCTCCAACCTCCGGTATCCGTCAACCGGCACGATCGGGGAAGTCAGGAGTGGGCGAAGATGATTCATCTGAGGATGTTGGTTCCAGATGAAGAAGGTAACTAGGAAAGAGGGTGTGGGAATCTTATCCAGAAATTCCAACCATCGGGTCCCATCCGTCGATTAGTTCGACTAGTTGATCTAAACGAGGAAGGAATGCGTGTTCCAGAACACACCCACTGACTTCGAGATTTTTGTTGCAAAGTCGGTAAAAATTACCTGATTGCAGAATCCTAACCATGGAACGAACGTCCAGTTCCGAGCCATTCACCCAAGGGAGAGAGCGGCTGTGATGGGGAACTTTGAACATTCCAGAACATGGGCTTTAGCTGGAGAATACTCAGTAGAGTTATTGCTTAGGGACCCTCCTTCCCTATCTAACCAGGTAACTGAAAGTAATAAGGGAAGTGGGTACAAGTCAGATAAAATTTGGTATAGATAGACTTATTCGACTAACAACTAGACAGCTAAGTAACTGGGTCACAAGAATAGATTTTCTACGCGGACGACCAGAGAGGAACAGAGAAGGGTTGGAAGGAAAAAGGGAATTGACGGGGGAGGATGGAGGGGGGAGGGAAACCAATCTAACACGGTTGCTTTGATTGAAGGTTGCCGATCGCGATCGTTGTAATCAAATCAACCAAGTTGTCATGGACCAGAGAGAGAGAGAGCCACACCCACTGACACCCACACCCACTCATTCAGAGAGAGGGTGAGCTGCCATCCATCAATTCATCCGGTGGCGTAGCGATGGGTCCCCTTCCCTTATTCTTCTCCCTCTGTTCTATTCTTTTTCTATTAATTAAAATTGCCCGTATCCTCTCTACTACTAGTATTCTTCGTTCCTTCTTGACAATCAATCCACACATCCACACCTTTCGCCCCATCCATCTCGGGGACCTCGTTTGCGGGATCTTACTTAAATTTGCTTAGTAGATAGATACGTAGATGAAATTGGAGTTATCTCATTTCCCTGGCCCTGCTTTTAGTAAAGTGTCATCATCATCATCACCATCATCATTCATTTCCCGGCCCCTCTCCTCTGCAGATTTGATCCTGGTTAGACTACTACTCCTACTAGTTAAGTCTACTTACTTAGATAGTTAGTCCCGTCCTCGGGTGGCCGTTCTATTGACATTTCCAAAAATAAATTTTTGTTCCCACTCACCGAGCGAAGATAATGATAGTAACTACTAAGTATCTACTACTACACGTACTACGAAGTATTACTTACCTACCCACCTATCTAGTATAGTCCTACGTGCTGTCATATTGCTACTACAACTAGTATTCCCACAACAGCGATGGCAATGAGTATCTCGAACCCCGAACGATGTGGATATACCGAGGGAATTTAATTAAACAATAATAAAGGAGACAGATTAAAACTTAGAACTACCAAGAAAAGTAAAAGAAGAATCGATCCGATCGGTAGTAGCGAATGTCCGTCTCTAGTATTACTTGCTTACTGACATACTAAGTACCAAGATCTACATCTGCCTGTCAGTGGTTGTCAGCTTCGTCAGTTAATGTACTAAAGTTTCCAGTTCTAGATCCCATAAGCCGGGTGTATCCGTGGTTTCCTATCCACGTGTTATTCGGGTCCAGGCTAAGCAAAGTAACTTCAGTAGGTGAGATTGAAATTTGACAGGATTTAGTTCACTTTGTGGAAAGTTTGGTACCGAAATTGATGGTGTATGGCGTTATTGCAAATTTCAAGTGAGTTAGTATTGTAGACAAACAAGTTTTCTTCAATGATGAGTTGTCGTTTTGCTTGGTTTTTGATGTTCCTTTCTCGAATCGTTTCGTTGTGGTGAGAAGCAATGGTCGCTTTGTGTGGTGATGGAAAATATATGTCGCACCTCGAATCAATATATATAGTACACACATGAGGACACAAATCAAAATAGGTTAGCAAAACACCCACTTCCTGAGAAGTATCATGCTACCAGTATATTGATACTTCTCAGATAGTACCAGTAACACACATAAATATCTCGTACTAAATCGACAATACACCTACTGCACACTACGTACTGTCCAACCTGCAGGTCATCGCAAGCTGTGCGGTATGGGCGGGGTGCGAGGTACTAAGTTACTGGTAACACGCGACTAACACTGAGCGCATTTGGACCATACATATACATACATACATACATACAACAGCAGCATATAGACATCTAGCTTCGCTAGATCGGTCAGGCAGATGCAGCACTGTAGTATCTACTAGTGACTTATGTGATGCTCATGCATCTACTACTATGGCTTCTTCATGCGGTTTCAAACTCTATGCGTCCGCGGGCATAAATAGGGACCAATAGCTAGTATGTATCTAACCGCCTGGTTCATTGACCACAATCAAAGCAATGCAAAAGTGAAGCATAACCGACTACCTGAGAAGCTACATCTGCAAAATAGATACGTGAGACTCGATTGGTACAGGCAAGTAATAACCTTACTAGAACACGGACGTAAATTATAATACATGGTAAAGGCATTATGTGGTAACAATCACGTTGTTGATTTACGTGGACCCAAAAAGAAAAGAGAAAAGGAAAAAAAAGAAAAGCCGTCGAGTCAGGAAATTCAATAGAATCTATATAGAAAACTACTATAGTCTGACGCGATCGGGAGGTATATCTCATAGCCATATGGCTGCTGGCATGATCGATCGGGATCAGGTTACATCGTGTCTTAGTGTGTAGTGGGGGGGGGGGAAAAGGAAGGAGGGGAGGGGGTGGGCAAAAGTTAGGTTCTCTATCTACCGTATGGGTTAGCATCGGAGGCCCGATCAGAATGAAGTAAGAGTAACTAGGTAAATTAATTTATGCTTACTTGTTCACATGATGGGACCCGATCGATAGTTTAGATGGTATGAATTATTAATATTCGCATTGGCCTGACTAGTTACTTTGGTTGTCGTATATTGCTGCTGTGGCGCAGTGCTGGATGAGTAGATAGTGGTAGGTAATGGTGGTTTGTGTGTTGGCTATGGAGACCCATGTTGAATAGTTCACCTGCATGTACCTTTTGGTGTTCTCTAGCCCCTTAGGAAATCGTCCACCTGCTCATGATGCAATCCCATCCGATCGTAATCATTTGCCTTGATAACTTCCTTGTCATGGTCATCTAGATAGACAGATAGTAGTGAATGGTAGGCAGACAGGCAGGCGCGCAGCCCCTTTTGCGGATTGATTTGTAAGCTCCATGACTCGCAATTAATATATCATGTGGTAAATATAGCTGCCTTCAGCGGTGGCCATCCGAGCCCGCAAGCTCAACACGCTCGTTGCCCAGGATCAACAACAATAATGCCATTCATTATAGGGTCCCAGAGGGACAATACTGAATAGTCAGTTAGTAGGGCAACGGGATGACTTCGAGAGGAGAGAGGGGTGGGTGGGTGGGTGGCAGAGCGGCCCCAGGCGCAACGTGCTGACTCTTCAGAGCCAGGCTATGACGCTGCTTCACTATAAAATGGAGACTGAGGGCCAACGGCGATTCATTAAACAGTTAGATACTAGCACCATTCCGGTTGTCATCTCCGTGGGCTGTTCGTTAGTCCCATTGATAGACCTCCGGACCTCATATATCTTAGCCCCAACCACCCAAGATCCGCGCGCAGATTAACCCGCCGATGGGCGACGGTCGATAGGCGACGCTAACCAAACCCAAGTCTAGGCGATAGATAGACATTCCCACTGCCCAAAGTTGGCAGAATTCGGGACGAGGATTACTGCCATTGTATTTCCGTCCTGTTTGTTGTAGGCTACAACCCACGGCGGGTTGATGATCAACGGCCGTTATCAAGTCAGGAGCCACAACTTGACTGGATCCATCCTGTGAAGGCGCAGAATCTTCGACTAGGATGGATCTTCTCCCCCTATTTTTTTTTGTATTTACTTAATTTATTTATTTTCTTTCTTCTCTCTTTCCTCTTCTCTCCGACTCTCCATCCAGCTTCCTAATCTTCTCTTCTGGAGAAGCGGCCAGAGACGCTGGGTCCACTGACTGTACCCACTTGACATTCTTATTTTGCCGGGTAAATTCGACGGGATTCCAATAACGGGGTTTTTGGGCGGCTTCCAGACGGACGGAACGGGGGATTTGGAAAGTGAAAGTCGAAGCTACCACTAGGAGCTAAGTCAAGTGATGAACTCGAACCCGTCAATCAGATCCGTTCTACCGGGAACCGCGCTACTCAGCCTGTATTATGTTGTGTTGAAAAATGTACTCTAGCGAGCGGGGACTTCCAGTTCGCAGCTCTCTCTCAAATTTTGGTTCATTTAATTTGTCCCTTTTCGGAGGACAACTCATTTAGAGGGCTAGATGGCCTTGGCTAATAAGCAAAATTCGAGATCCGCCACCTCATCTTTTCATAATGAGATTTCACGTACTTAAGTTGATATCCTCCACATGTCATCGAGATAATCTCATGTACCTATCCCTCACTAGGATCGCGTACTTTTTGCCACCATGCATAGTTAACCTTCCGGATTTGCGCTGATGCGTCCCCCATGATCCGTCAGGCCTGACCACCAGAGGTGGATCACACCACAGCCGGGTCCGTAGATATGGTGGGGAAAGTCAACGTTCAACGGCTTGGAAATGGGAGCGTATCTGGCAGTTTCCGTGCCGCGGCCTCCGAATACGCCAAGTCCTTCACTCGAGCTGCTGAGAAAGGAAGGCAGGATTGGGCTTGCCGGGCGTTTTGACACCACACCGATCTTGTGGCAGTGGCTCCCAAACGGCTCTATTGTAGTCTACTGGGCCGCGCCACTACATGATTCATGGGATGGCAGCCTTTTTTTTCCTGCGTCCATGTTATTTTCTATTATTTTCTTATTTCTTATCCACTTCCTCTGCTCCCTTTAGGGAGCCGTGTCTGGTGGATCGTCCAACCGCCTCGTTGGTGCCAATATTGGAGTGTAGATGCTCGATAGGTAATAATTATAGATCTCAGTCTCAATCGATGACTCGGGATTTGCTTACGACTCAGTTCGGGGTATGCACGAGAGCCGAAGTAGATCCGTCTTGCGGCCGGCGCAAGATGAGGCGACAAGGGCCGAAAAAAAAGTGTGGAAAAAATTTGAAGACGGCGGGACACCCTACCCAAGACCGTTAGACTTATGGCACACAATAATGCGGTCTTGCTTTCTTCTGCTTTTTTTTTTACATTTATTATTTTTTTTTCTTAAATATTATTATTTAATTACATATTTATTCTTTTGTTTTTGCGCGTGGATTTTTCCATTCTCTTATTTCTTTTTTACTTGCCTAATTCTTGGCCCCTTTGTAGACAAGAAATTGGACGCTATTATGTTTATCTATAAAACTTGTTCGTGTCGAGTCGACCCTGGAACCTGTATGCAAAACCTGAAGTGGCGATCGTCACTGTGGCTCAGAGGTCTTAAACGCCCACTTGTTCGTTCGTAGTTTTCTGTCAGCCATGCAGATAGCCACACATGGGTGGGACATACACCTTAGTTGTAAAGGATTTCGATGATTGACAGGGCCATCTGTCGAATTCGTCACCCAAGGCAAGGGTTTCTCCAGGCGAATCTTGGTACACAATACGCCAAAGGCGGGAGAATGAATGGAGCCGATAAAGAATGGTCCACTTCACGTGTCTTCCAGGGGGTGCTGAAGGAATGGTGAATGAGGAATGGACATTAAGTGGGCCGGCCCTCCGTCTGATCCCCTGGACTCCTTAAATGGAAGGAGAAGACCGAGGCTATCCTCGGCAACTGTACTCACAATACCATACATACCTGACGGTAATGGCACTCTATATCGAAGTATTTTGATACACAGTAGGATACTTCTGAGATAGTCTGTTTCCGACTCGATGAACAAGCATGACCAGCCAAAGGGACAGTGTTGGGGTTTTAATTTTGTATATGGTGAGTGTTGTGGTCGTTTGAAAGGGAGGCCCTTCCGCATTCTACTGCGGTCGATGGCTCGTATCTTCCTTTCTCTCTTGCACACATGGTAATTGAATCTATCATGGGAGTATTCCACTAGACAGTGTTACTTACCCTTCAAGGAACCTCTGGGTACTAGACAGTGCTTAGAAACTTACTGATATTATATGTACTGTGCCTGTTTCCTATGAGAGTTCAGAATTTCCCTCAAATGGGCTTGGATCATTGGTTAGTTACTCAACAGAGACCATACTGGGTGGTTGGCGGAGACAATTAGCGTCATTGAACGCGCTCCCAATCGGTCGGCCTGCAGGAAACTCAAGTCTTGGTAGTCCAAGGACGAAGCAGGACAGAGGTGAGAAACATCGGGTTTAGCCGTTTTTGACGAAACCCCAGCTGTCAACTTTCTGGTTTGGGATAAGTCGTCGGAGAGTTTACCGGGATGGATCCACTACCGTTTGACACTGGAGCTCTCCCTACCCCCCTTCTGCTTTTTTTTCCGAGCCCATAGAGCTGTGCCAGCCTTTTAGCCCATGAGCAATCGGCCCGTCTTATGCAAACAACAAGGGCCATGTCAGGTCAAAGGACTGTGCAGAAATAGCTCGTAGCTAGCAGATCGAGATACTGGGCGCATTAGTACATCTGGCATGACACAGAGAGGCGTCTATACACTATACCGAGGCATCTGGTCGTGAAAACAGCTGATATTTCCTGATTGATGGCCCTTTGGTCAGACACCAAGGATTACGAGTCAGTATGAAAAGTATCAGGAGGAGTCCCCTCACTAATTCCGACGTATTTGGAGCTGTAATGGCTGTTGGGACGTCAGTGACCAGCCCCAGATGGCGAAATGGATGGCAGGCAATAGTGAGAGGAGTATCAAATTCTGAATGGACTCATGACACAATGTCTGCACCAATGAGCAGGTAACTGTTGAGGAGGATACGATCCCTCGCATCCTGGGCTCTTGCCATAATGGTCGAAGCGCTGTCGCTCACTTCCTTCCCGGACTGGGTGATAAATTTTTGACCATCATTGAGCGATCGTAGGACCCGGTCCCACCTCATCCCCCATTGCCGGTATCCATTAGCTGTACTTATCCTAATTTTGATAGAGCGCAGTCAGCGAAAACGTTAGCGAGGTGCGACGGCGAGCCAACGGTCGCAACGGCCCTTGAACCATCTCCTTTGGCGCTGTCGATCCCATTATCCGCTTTTCGGCCCACCATTCTCCAACTCCATAATGACACAGTAGAGCTGTTTTGGCTGCCTATGTCTTATTGATAGGATTCTTCCGATACTGACGGTGTGCCCTGAGTACTCCTTATGCTTTCGACCCGGAAAAGCCTGTTTGCTGGTTGGGACTGTTTACAATACCCCACATTGTCCATCTGGCTCCATAGTAGTCGTATTTCCGACTCTTTTGTGAAAATGGCCGTCTGGGAGGGAGAATAATTATAGAGGCTAGCAGAGTACTGGATACCATGACCCTTACCATGCCTCTGCGGCGTCGTGTGAGAGAGCCATTCAGCGGTATTTTTTAAAAAATCCGTAGGTGAAGTCCCACCTAGATGGCCCCCAAAGTGCCAATACAACATGTAAAGCACCTTCCCCATCTCCCGGTACAGCATGACGATTGGATATTATAAGCAGGATAGCTCTAGTGGGTCATATATGTGTCTATGCCACTAGTGACGGTATTAAGTAGGTAGATCGAGTATCTCCGTTTCCAGGGAAAACATAGGTTCAAAGTTGAAGCATTGGCGAACAATGGGTTACCAACCATTTTCCTAGTCATCGATAGCCTGGAAAGCGTGCGCCGGATGATTCTTTCCCGTAATAGTGGCCATTGTCTATCACAAGGCTTTGTATGAGACCTGGCAAATTTCAGATGCTATACAGGCGCGTGACATGTCTCCCACGCGTTTCGAGCTTGCGGATAGATCAAGTTCGCGGGCCTCTGCTGTAACTTCCTAGTGTCGGCAGATGCCCGGGAAGTACTTAGGTTAACGTTCGCTAAAAGCAACTTGCCACCCATGGACCGCTTTGTCCTGGCGGCTTTCCCTACTGTTGGGTTAAACCCGTTAACGTTAAGAGGCTTCCTGGGGCTGCGGGCAAAGCCCAAGCTTCATGTTCTAGATTTATCACCGAGTGCACTGAGTTATTGCTATTCGGCCTTCCAAAGGCAATATAGTCACAATGCCTGGAAGTTCTCAAGAACGTTATCATCTTTTCCATATAGAGGATCAGTTATACAGAAAGAACAATGCATATGAGGGCGTTGCAACAGGGGCTCAAACGACACCATAGGCAGATAGTGAAGAGGGGTTGAACATGTGTCTTAGCCATAGTCAATACGTAGGCTGTCACTTTCGTCAAGCCGGTCAATGTGATGGTATTGCCAGTACCTACTGTGTATGACCATACTGGCCAGTGCATCCGCCTCACCCAATCAGAGTCGGTCAAAAGCTTGGGACATCGCGCCAGGCAAAGATTTCCCGAACATGCTAATCCGGTTTAGGAATTTAGCGAGCGCTCCGGCCACAGCGTTCCTCATAGTATTCAGATTTCAGAGATCTAATCCAGAGACCACTGCGTTCCCAGGTGCTTTTTGTTACATGGAAGACAGACGGCTGATACACTCGGAACTCAACGTGGCTCCGCAATAGTACAGGAGCCGCAGTAACATTGCTTGACTCTTGCGATGGAATAGAGCTAAAGATACAAAAGAGGGAAACTTACATGGCTGACTATCAATATCCATTCACTACCTCGCACTACAAGCATACCTTGATGGTTCAAAGGAAAATGCACCCAGAATCGACATAGTTAGCTAGTCAACTAGGTCCGCCTGATGAAGTCGGTCATCATCTGGGGCGGCCGCTGGCAGATCCATTTCCGCTGCCGCCGCTTAGTCTGTGCACCGATAGATATGACCAAAAGTACCGAATGAGTAAAGGCCTGTCGTCATAGCTTTGGTGTTCCTGGTTTGTTGGATCCGGACAGAACTATTGCGGGAAGTATATCTCGAGAGGGATGGAATGAGAAGGAGAATTAAGTCTGTCAGATGAGGTCATGGCCTTGGCCCCCTCCCGACATCACATGTGAACGATCGAAAGAACAGGATAATCAGGAAAAACGTCCAATCCTTTCCTTTCAGGGATCTCCGACACCATACGCTGGACCTGGCGGAAGTGATTACCGTAGCCTTGCTTATTTGGGTAAAGATCGGACACTTTCAGTTGATCCCTCAGGGAACATTTTTAGCGCCATCTGCTGGAAGTCAGTTCAGCTTCCCCTAGCCTGGCCGTGCAGTGCAGTTCGCAAAAGGCATTCGCCTTCCTCAATACTAGAGTGGGAAAGCCAAGTTCAACGGTGGTGAACCCATGCGTATTACGTACCCGGGACCGGTCGCAAGATCGAGCAGCTCCACGGCAATGGTCATGAACCGGCAATAGTTTCCAGTAGACATATCTAAATTCGAAGGGGCATGCCAGAAGTTGCACTAGCAAGCAAGCCACTGGAACCTATTGTATTGGTACTCATCACTCTTTAATTTAGATTGAGGGGCTATGATCCTCTTGAGTCAGATCTCTCCACGGAGTACCGGTGGATAAGCGTGGTTGCTTCCTTCCAGGGGCCGACTCCTGGGTCTGAAGCGTCATAGGATAATGGATGGTAGTGTGAGTCAGGGGGGTTTTCCGCAGTACATATTAATATTTTGGTCGTTGTCTGACTCGTAGCTGCATATAGCTTGCCCACTTTCTCGTCCAACTGTCTACAATACGTATGCGACATGCATTACTAGGGAAATACGCACCCACGATAAAGAGGGAGGGGGGAAAGGAAAAGAAAGGGAAAATATAAAAACACAAATGTAAAAACTGATTTTCACGGAATGTTAACTCTGTATTCGATAAATCCGATGGGCAGAAGTCTCGTAAGCTTATAATCGGCATACTACTTCGATCTCCTTCGATCTCGAGCCCTTGGAACGAAGGATTGCATCAATCAACTTCGATTCATGGTTCTGAGCGAAACGCAACCGCAGAAATGATCCCGTCATATGAAGCGATCCTATAAGACGGCTTTGCTTGCTGTTGGGACCAGAGTCTGCTAATAACACATTTGCAGGAAGTGAGGTTCAAAGTCAAGATCAGTCTGAGCCAAAGCTTGTTTTCTGCAGTAATTCCGTATCGTATGCATTCAACATCCACTATTTCAATATTCTTCCTGGACGTTCCGTTTGGTAAAAGTGAGAAGGTCAAGAGCAAGAGGGTATCATCTCGCGTACATTAGGAGAGGCTTCAAATACGTAATATTATTCTTGAAGTAAATGAAGAGAAGAAAAATTAATTTGAAAATGAGAACGACTGTATAGAATGCGGGCTTGCCTAATTAATCTATAGATGCGCAAATCTACGATTCAGATTTTGGGGCCACCATAAAATAGCTGGTTACGTCAATATTCTGACCAGCAGACTCATGCATAGACATCCGTTACACTAGATGATACTGGCGATTGGCGTCGATCTGAGGCCTATACGATAAAAACGCGCCCGTTCGTTGGCCATTGCCAATCATGTGGCCTAGATCTCGGCTCGGAGATGGATCGCCCCCCAAAGGCCTGCAACGTGCGTGCCACGGTTAAACAAGTAACAACGGTAAAATACTGCCTATGCTATTTCTTTGGTTAGTAAAACATATAACCGTGTCTTCGAACAAATCTACAATGGAAAATAAAAGCCACCGACATAGTCAACAGAAATTTCGTTGACCCGTCTTCTGCTTGGGTCTTCGCTGAGGGGAACATCCTACTCCGGTGGGGGAGGTCTACTGTGTATGATACGACCGTGAATACGGCACGATTTCCTTTCGGGGAAATAGTCCGATCCTGGAGGGCCACTGATAACAGCACAGAATATGTAGTGCACTGTATTTATTTCTAATGGTGTGGCCTAAATATTTGCTAGTGCCTATCCTTCCCGACTAAGTAGCACGCTTGTTGCAGCTACCTATCACCGATCGATCGATCGGAAAGTTATGTGCATCGGTACTCCATAGAGTAAGTGACTTCGAAGGCCAAGTGTCGGCTTGGCTCTTTCCAAGTTCCAGCACACCGTTGTACAGATTTACCCCAACCACTGACGCACTAAAAGATGTTCTCCGGTTCCACCATATTCAATAGTTTACTGCTATTACTAACATTCTCACACTAGTCTGACTTTAGACCCATTGATGACCGGAAAAGTAAGACCAGATGCAGGAGCACGACGAAAGTTCATGGTGAATGCACTCGCAGGGGTCCCGACCATCATTGAAGCCGACGGCAGAAACAAAGAGTGAACAAAATGATACTAATGGTCTTTGTACTTGTTTTGATATAAACAAGAAGTGCACAGAATGATCAGAGAACCAGAGGACATGGAGAGGAGATACTCCCAGTATTTCAAGAGGGGGGAAAGAAAGGGGATGATGACGATGGTGCCACCCACGAACGGCTACGCCCGAGATCTCGAGCAAGGGAAAGCGGGGAGCGTCGTACCGTACCATGGAACAAGCAACGCAGGCACGGGTAAAATACCGATATGCTGCTTACCAGCCTTTCCTTAAGAGTCTCACATCCTGTTTCCCTTTATCCATTCTGCCAATGAGTTTGCTATTTGATCCTCCAATCCTACAGGTTATGTGCCCCGGCTTTTCTGACTGATCATCACGTTCCCTACAAAATCTGTAATCTACGGGCGGGGAATTTTCCCATATCACGAGCGTAGGAGATGGAGGGTCAGGGGTAGCAGATGTTAATTCCCTGGGGCAGGAAAATCTGGCCACAGCTGCAGCTAAGTTTTGGGCGGTTGTGCTGCCCTGCAATGTGAATGGACAGATCTCCGCCACTTGCGATCCAACGATGCATTTTCTTTTGGGCTAGCTGCAGCCAGGGATGGACAGATATATATTATGAGTGAATGTGTTAATGTATTTTGCTGATATGCGACACCGTTTCCCCACTGTGATTGCTCTCAGATCTCTACCGACTAGAGCAGTAGTAAACAGGAACCACATAAGCATAGCTACTAGTAGTAGCTAGTTATGGAATCTTACTTACAGCTGCTTAAGGACGGACTGTAACACAACAACTCATCACACTCTGTCGTAAAAGATTCATAGGTGCTCAGGTAGAAACTGTGCTATGAAATATCCAACGAAGACAGTTGATGGAAAGCTGTGGGACGACCTGTCTTTTGAGCATTACCAGCATAGTACATGGAGTATCACGAACCGTTAGACTACAAGAGAATGGCCACCGCGTCCCAGCCTTATATTTTGGGATCGAATTAGATCTTATCAACGATCATAAACTTGAGACAATGCTAATGCGGGGAGCCTTACTTGGCGGTTCGCCATGGATCGCAATTTGGGGAGGTTTGTGGGAAAAAGAAAAGAAAGGGCCAAAAGACTAAAGAAAAAAAGATACATCATCCCAAATTTTAGCGAAGAATCAAGTGTGTTGCACTTGATCTTTTTGTCAGCATATGATCAGTGCTTGTAAAACTACTCTCAATTCTATTTAGTAGTTTGATGAAATCCAATTTTCAAACCCTTTCCCTATTGAGCGGCATGAAGCCCAATACCGAGTGAGTATTGCCTGCCTGTTCCGATATGTATCTGCGTGTCTGCGAAATGCCGATCAACCCTTCCTGAGGGTATACCTGAGAACCCCGATGGTAGTCAGCGAAACGCTTAGCACATCAAGATTCATTGAGATTGTAGAGAGGAGTCAAATGGCAAGACTTATAAGAACGAAGATGAATTCCATCATAGGAGGGGAAGATGATGGTGTATCCATCCACAGAGAGACAAGCGCCTTCACAAATGAACACTGAATGGGTGGTGTCTTCGTTAGCAAAGTCGAGGTTGATCTGGAACTCATTCTCTTCGCCCATAACATCGCCTGAATGCTAATAATAGTGCTTAATCTACTTGTGATAGATAAAATTATTAGCATCTAGTCGGCGTTCCTGTTAATGTGACAAGCTTGCTAGATTCCAAGGCCATTCATTCTCGATATGGTCCTCTAAAAGTACCTTAATGACTTAAGAATGGAAGGAAATCATTCCATATTATACCGCCTCTTTTACTTCTCACCTAATCCCCTGTTCTCATTCTCTAGCTCATAAAATGGTGTCTGTTGGCAGCCCTCCTGCACGGTGTGCGATTTACTTCAATGGAGACGGATCGATGTCTCCTATCTCGGACCGGTACTACATTGATACGATCAGGGTGGAATTTATTCTTCGCCAATTTAAATATGGTATGCCCCTAGAAGAGGTCTGATTTCCGTCACTCGAACAGGTTGTATACTAACTTCTTTCCAATGTAACCTTATCGTTGAATTTAGTTCCAATTTAGCCTTCAAGAGAGGTTTTCTCGCCTAATGAAGTTTCGAGAATCTTAGCCAGTATTTAATCCGCTCAGAAACACCATGGCTGCCACCGTCGAAGGACCCCCTCAGTCTCATTCTTATGGTCTATCTCCGCGGTGGTAAAGGTCTGTTTAAGCCTAAAGCGACAGAGAGATGGCAAGGGAGAATACCTCGCCTGTATAACTCGAAATAGAGAATGTGAGCTGTGGGAGCAGCGGCAGTTTCTGCGCAGTAAGCAGTTTGAAATACGTAACGTGTATGAAATTTTAGTAATATGTGTATAGGTACTTACGCGGTAAGGAAAAGTGGAAACTTGGTATTGAGGGGGCGGTTATGTAATTGACGCGGTTTTATTTTTCTGATTTAATATTAATTTTATACTTTCTCTCCTCCGTCAGCCAAAAGGGAAAATGGAAAAAAAGAAATTCTCGGGGCCAGGGACACCCCCCTGGTAAGGCTCCATCACTCTCCACCCAGATATCCGCACATCGCCAATATGATCCCAACCCACTCCACACTTCGTCGAAGATCCGCAGTTCGCAGCCGTAAAGCTTCTGTAATTCGCCGTAACTTTAAAGTGGTCACAACCTCCGGTATGATTCGACGATCTCATAGTCCGTTCTGGCTCCTCCGCCTGCCTGTCTCTCTAATTTTCCAGGTCTGAGCTCATCTGTCCTAGGCCGACGTAGTTTTAGTAGCTCCTGTTTGGATCCTCCCATATCTCGCGTGTGTGCGGGCCTGAGTGTTGGACTTAAGTGGGCTAAGTATAATTATAATTGTCTTTTATATTTGTACGCATTATAACTATTATAATCTTCTGCTGGTGCTGCTCCTTCCCATTGTTATTCTTCCTCTTATGGTCCCGCCCACCCTGCTGGCTCAACCAACTACCCACCACTCCTACTAAGGTATTTACCCTGCCCTTTTCCTCTGCATCTCTTCCCCTCTGAATTCTTGCATTCCAATCAAAAGGAAAGAGAGAAAAAAAGATTCTCTCCTCCCCCTGCCCGAGACATCTTCGATCCCATTGTCGTTTTCCTTTTCCCGAACCCACTTTTTCACCCCTTGACATTTCACTTCCATCTCCCCCAAAACTTCCCTTCCCTCTTTATTGTCTGGAGATCGTGTTCTTTCATAATCTACCATTACCACCATCTCTTCCTACCACCCCCGTCCAACTACTGCCGACATCTTGCGTCCTTGCATTTTCTCTCTTTCCCTCCGTGTTTTCTCTCCCTCCCCTTTCCAACCAGTGATCACCTGTCGTCCTTATTTTCCATTATTTTTCTTGATCGTTCCGATCTTGTATTTGTTTATTTTCTTTTCTTTGCCGCTCTTTGTTGGGGGTCGCTAAGGAAGAAAAATAAAAGGCTCTACAGAGAGACGGAAAGGAAGAGAAGAGGACCAACCAACGTCTCCCTTCCCACGCGACGCATTCATCTTCACTATCCCTTGCGTTCACTGCGCCTCCGCCGCTCCCGCGAACTCAAACATTGTCAAATCTACCTCTTGAGGGAACTCGGCACGAAATTTCGACTGCTAATCCAGCTATTCGGGCTTCCTGTGCAAGGTTTGACCTAGGGACAGATGGTTATTCAAAGAGCTGGAAGGGCCGTTCCGATTTGACCTGTTCGCTGCGCGTTGCGGGTGCGTGCCGTACTCTCTTGGTCGCCCTCTACAAGAACTCACCCCAACAATTGCGGGCACTTTCATCGCGATCGCATCTACTTTAATCTACCTGATCTTCTTACGCCACCATAACCCCCGGAGCACTTACCAAATATTGATTTTGAATCGTGTTGCCGCCTTCCGCCGCTTATTGTTTTCTTGGCCGATCCAGCCGAATCTCTCGCTCGAATCTCGCCCGATATCGTCGCTACCACCCCCACAACCGCCACCACCCCCAGACAATCTTGGGTGACGAAAGACGTGGCAGTGATTCACGTTCCAAGATTTTATAATCGCTAGAATACTATATAAAGTCAGGTCATTGGACAAAATAAATCGAGGCGAGCATTCGGCAGCGAAGTCACCAAGTCAGTACTCCGCAGCCAATACGTTTTTCTTTTCCGCCTTCGAGTTTCTGAGAGCTCAGTCGCAATCACTGTGAAAGCTCTCGCGCCTTGCTATTACCGTGCATTCTCACCGATATATCGGGGCAGCACAGACAGCACCAATTCTACCATTGGACGGTGGCGATAGGTATTGAATGAGATTTGGAGTATTTGCCCTGCAAATTATTGGAACAAGCCGTTGGCGTGATGGGGTCGTTAGAGGCTGAGCACAGGCACAGGTATGTTTACCCTATGGTAGCTTATCGCAAATAGCCATGCGGGTGTTCTCCGACAGCAAAGGTGCTAATGATTGTTTGCTTCTTAGGGAACATCTACCAGCGCTGGGTTATCTTGGTAAAGACGGACCCAGCTACGCTCCGAAGCACCCTGGTATAGCAACAGCACATACGTCATCGCCAACACCACTGTTAAGTCCAACCACCATGTATCCAGGCCAACCCTTACCTGTCTCCTACACTACATCGACTGGTTCTGGTCATTTGCAAGCTGGATACATATCACCCCCGGATTCGCGCCGCGCGCTTGAGGAGGAGAAGGACAAACAGCAGCAACAGCCTCAGAGGCAATCGCTTCCGTCAATCCATGAGGCTCTAGGGAATGACAACCATTTACCATACCCTGCGCCGACTCCGGCTCCACAGCAAGCTCATCACGCGCCACCTCATTCCTTACCTCCTAACATTGTCGGGCGGCCAGCCACTGAGGGACCTCCAGGGCCGCCGAATCCCTTTTCGAGCGGAGCAGCAACTGGCCCTTTCGTGCGGGAACCTGCTTTTCAGCACCAACTGCAAGCAGAAGCCTCAAGGTCGAGCTTGACATCGATCAACACCCAAGATTCGAGAAACGCGTCCTTGCAATCACTTAATTCCGGAAAATCACCTACTCAAAGTGCAAAGACCGGCATTACTTCGATTTCCGGATCCCAAGTTGGCTCTGGTTATGAGTTCAGCGCGCCTCCTTCTGCTGGCAGTGTGGCCTCGCCTAATGGTTATGGTGCGTTTTCACAATCATTCTCATTTCAGCCGCAGCCCCCATCAAATGCACCAGCGTATCCCTCAGCTTCTTATGATGCTCGAACCTATGGGGGGACATCTTGGAAACCTGGTGTACCAGAAACTGCTCGCGTGGACGATGTAAAACCGGGTCTAGCGACCCGTCCAGCCATTGCGGGGCAACCACAAAGCGATTCTGTCAAACGTCACCTGGATATTTACGATGTGGAGACATCCCTGAATGAGGTATGTGATTTTCTACTATGGGACCAAGTGGACCGAAAATGAATCGCCAATTGGTTCTTTGATATGTGGTGCCAAATCGCTAATTATACTAGATTGCCGAGATGAGCACAAGAACCTTGGATTTTTCCAGGCACTATGCGGCAAGGGCACACCACACTCAGCGGTCTGGCCCTGTATTGGGTTCCCTGCCCTCGATCCACGAAGTTGAGGAGATGCTCAATATACAGCGTCGTAATCAGGATGCTTTGATTCGCATACGGACAGCAATTTTGAACCAGGAACATGCCATGGCAGAACAGATGGCTCAAAGAAAGGCTTTCAAAGCCGGTGGGGTACATGACGATGTCCACCACATGGCAATGTACCAGGAGGAATACAAGGGCAGTGGCGGGTTCGCTGGCCCCGATTCCAAAAAACGACGAGGGGTATGTCTACTCTGGATATTTTCTCTTTCCGTTGTTTCTCATTCACCGTACCCATTTCCCCCTTGCCCCTCAATCCCGTTTACTAAGGGATTGCCCCTCGCCTCTCACTTCTTCACAAGTATACCCACTTCTACTTTTGCCATCGCTAACAGCGGCGCTCCTGCAGAAAGCTGCCCCTCCCGGTCGTTGCCACAGTTGCAACCGAGCCGAAACGCCGGAATGGCGCCGTGGACCCGACGGTGCCCGGACCTTGTGTAATGCGTGCGGCCTGCACTATGCAAAATTAACTCGGAAGATGGGCGCGAACAAGGCATCCTCGTTGGGTTCAAATCTGAAACCCAAAACTGCCTTGGACTCCGCATCACCGAGTAGCCATTAACTTATTAGCCTGTTCATTTATGTGGCGTTGGAAACGGCATGGGACTAGAAGTGTCAGGCGTTTTGAGTCCTGTTTTCACTTTTGATCATTACCTAGTGTTGGCTTCGTTTTGGTCCTCGTTTGATCTGCTTCTGGGTCAAGGTTTTCCTTTCGAATGGTTTGGATGATCACGAAAACTCCGGGCATGCGGACTTGATTTGGTTTGGTCCCATTGGTCCCTTGAATTACCTTCTAATACCCTTGCACGTTGTGGGAAAAGGTATTCCGATAGACTTTTTGCTGTTTTCCCCATCTCTTTTATTTTTCTTCCGTTTCCCCTACCTATTCCATTTTCCCCTCAGCCCCTGCTTCATCATATTTTGGTGGCTTTAATCTTTACTCCGTTCTATCATCGCTGTGCAACTGGCTTGTGTGCACTCCAACCTCTTGTTGAATTTTTCTTACGCACCGCTTGTCTTTGGTATTATGCTACTTGTTGCCTTTGCTCTGGTTTACAATTATACCCCCCCGTTTCCTACCAATGTCCTGCTGCTTGCTTGGGAATTGCAATCACCTCCAGATGTGCCTATATGATGTTCATGCACTCATGTCTGTCGTTGAAAAATGAAGAGGGTCTACTGCCTCCGTGTTATGACTAAAGTGTAAAGATAGTTTATCTCTTCATCCTTGAAAAATTCTACTATACATTTCACTATAATGGCCGACTTTCCATAAAGAGAGGATCCACGAATTTGTCTGCTATGAGGAAAGGTGAGACCTCATTCGGTAAGCCGGGTTTGAAGGCGAGAAAGGTATGCAGTTCTCCGACCCTCGGAGTTCCAATTCAATAATACAGTCATAGCAGTAGCTATCCACGGATCCTTAGCCTACACTATTGAGGCGCAAGCGACGAAGAGGCAATAGCGCCTGATTACTTGGCTTTCCCACACCCCGGGATCTAGACGCCGGTACTTTTTTGGCCACCACTGTCCACGGAGTTGTGGCAATTGTTGGAGTCAGGGGCTAGGCAAGTTAAACTCGGAAGTTGATTCTTTGGCCCTTTCTGTGACTCTGTAGCGTACCAACGTGTCGATTCAGGACGTCCTATACTAGTTTAACCGGCATGACCCCGATTGGTGATGATCCTGCGCTAGCCACGAATTACACTCCTTATGATGCGGTTAAGTGGCGTCTCCAGGCTTCCATACCTTTCGCGTCCCGTAAATCATATACACACAATCCCTTGGATCGGTCAATCGAGTAAAGATCCCTTGGGGTCAAACCTCGGGGTATCCGGCTCTACAGTGGGATACAGTGGAAGGCGGAATCAGTGAACCGAAACTGACTACCAAATTGGGCCTAAACATTGATTACTTAATGTTGCTTTCGGCCGACCCACCTGTAATCAATGAGCAGCACGGTCGGGGTGAACCCGCTAAGGACTGGAAGCAACCAGAAGGTCCTCCAGGTTCGTACCATGTTTGACTTGGTGGCTCATGACACACGAGTCACGGAGTAGCCTATGCCGAAATATTTCCTTATTCGCCCGACACTCTCTGAATAACTTCAACTTCCTAGCACAATTTTCCTGGCAATATCAGTTCAGCGAACGTAAAGAATGACCCCAAAGTTCTGTTTGGATCGATTGCTGTCACTTAATGTGGTACTTGCGCTACCCCGAACGATCGAACCGATCCGATCTCACCTTGTCTCATCTTGCAGGGGTTCTCGAAAACCAACTACTGAGTCAATTGTTCCTGCAACTGTTTAGTAGTAGCAGAACATTGGCTACCTTCCAGACCTCGGAATGACGCACCTCATGTAGATACCTAGACTAGATGTAGTGAGTGCATACAGAAGGCGGTGGCTAATGGTAGCTAAGATCTTATCCTGTACCATAGTACAAACCCCTCTCACCGCCGATTCATCCCCGGCATCCTACTTACCGCCTCGAACGCCTCTCGCTCACCTCCTTGTGAGGTCAGGTGCAACAATTTCCGCGGACTGGCTTAGACAGGTCTTCCTATACTAACCGGAGATTGTTTTGGTATCCGCATACTTTTATCGATAGGCTAAATTAGATAGTGTTCAATAGTCTGCATATGGAAGAGTTCACAGAATCTGTCATTAATCCGAGAAACCCTCCACCTCCAAAGGAGCACTACTAGTCATTACGCTCTCCTTTTGGTAGTGACCCTGTAAGTAGCACTTAGTAGATCGCACCTGCAGGTAATAACCATGATGTCTGTTTAATTACGGACAGATGGTTAGTCTAGTAGAGATACCTTCAACTCTCCCTTCTGACCGTCTTCGCCGTGTGACATGGTAATCTGTCAACTGCGCACTATTACTATTTCCCCATAATATTACCGAATATAACCAGACGAGTTTGGCCAAAGTTGCATATGGAAAATCATACCATGTAAAAGAATAAGCCCGTAGGTTGATTTGGAATTAATCTACATGCCGTGTCTCCACGTCCGGTGCGTCTTTCCCATTGGCTAGTTCTCGATCACGATCATGCCACACATCTAGCAAATCTGAGATTAAAGCGGCCCAGCCTCCATACCGTTTTAAAAATGCTTCCTCGGCCGTCGCCGCCAGTGCCCGATAAAGTAAGCCCAATATATTAATCAATTAGTCGCCACAACACAATTCAACAGAACCCTTCTTCAATGTCTCACGGACGGGATCTCGGGCGCCAAATTCCACTGCATCTGTGCCCCCGAGATCCGACCGATCGGACGAATCGGGGTTACGTCATGGGAGGCTGAGGGAAATCTACTACTCAATATAATTTAATCTAAATCGAGTCAGGGAAAGAACATTCTCGATTAATCGATGTTCTTTGGGGGTTCCGAGGTAACTAACTAAGTAGACTAGGCAAAATTGATAACTACTCGATGTCATTTTGGGAATGATTCTCGTATAGAGTCTTGCGTCATGTGCTCCCGCTGCTTCCGAGAGGATCATGCATAGCGCCGCCCTTGATTTGCACAACGTATGTATAGTATGTAAAGTCAAGGTATGTACTAATAACCCACTCGTATATACTCCGTAAGTCCTTCTATACATAGACAGTCTATTAGGTTCAGTATCATAGTGTCTCACTACCGACCCACTGTATCCAGTCTGTCGGTACTGCTGGCCGTGAAGGCATCGACAGACTGACATTTCAGTTCTGTCTCTTTCTGTGTCTGCATGATGCAATCCTCAGGCACACTACCTACGGATCCTGCCCGTGCATACAAGCTCACTTCTTGACACAAGGCTTGGTTGCTGTGGTAGCCTCATGGATTACCTTACAAGTCAGTGTGTCTCAATGGGCCATCTTTGCAGAGCTATAATCTGACCCCAAAAAGAACTTTTTTTAATAGTCGCTGAAAGCTCTCTGCCTCAGACAGAGAGAGAGAGAGAAAATAGAGGAAAGTGGTCTTTTGCTTACTGCCTCACAAATCGTTTGTGCTCCGACTTGAGCAGCAATGGTGCAGTGAGAAGAACGTCTGTATTTCTTTAATCCAAACCGTCAGCTGCTTGTGGAGTTGGCCGTGATGAGTCTCATACCAAGCGGGTCTGAAGGGCATTCTCATAGTAACACGTTGTCCTTGGGCAGTAGCTAACTGGGTCCCAAGCCAACACACTTGGCTTTCTTCACCCAACAGCATCGATATTTTGACTTCTCCGATTGACACCGAAGCCAATCTTGAAGCGGACCTACTTGAGACCTAAGATCGTCTGTTCGAAAGAAAAAAGAAAGGGGGAAAAAAAAAAAATGCAATGGCACACATTCCCTCTTTCCATTGATCGGCGATGAGGGCCGATGTCTGGGTCGATCGGGAGATGTCCCTTATCGAGCCCACAGTTCGCGGACTCCCACCCCTTGCCCACTCACTCTGGATCTTTGGGCCAGATCGACACATTCGCAGTTGTGCCTGTTCCTGATTGTCACCCAAGATTTTCATCAACTTCCGCCATGTCCCGGTGTGGTCAAGGCCACAGCCAGCTATTTTGACTTATTCTACGCCACGAACCACTTCACTTGCTAGAACATTCGCATCCACGATCGGAATACGTCCCCCAGTGGATCGATGGTTTTGAAGCATCGGAATCTGATAGGTGACAGCACTACAAGGCGCAAGTAAAGTCCGGGAGGTTTCGTTGGTTGTATCCGGAGTAACAAATCTTGGGACTGCAGCTTCTCGAACTCCTTTCCTACCCCATACAGCCACCAAGAATACCCACCATGAGCAAGAGCGTCGTATGCTATTTCGGTGGGCGTTGTGGGCCTGTACTCTGTTGGTCGCGTGTGCCCCCCAATTCTTCGCAAGCTCTTAAGCCTCACCGATACTCGTTACAACTGATTTGGCTATTACTAGGTATTGGTAGTAGGTAATAGTCGGTACATCGAAGCATACGCCTCCGTATGCGACTACCTGCTCACATACCCCATACATCCATACATGACCCTTGTCCTACGTATTACATACGCCAGTCTTGTCTGATTAGGAGGCTCGATGTTATTAATGCTGTGGAACATGGCGTCCCCATAACTACTGTGTAGGTATGCCCCTACATGGCAAGTATAGGCAGTAGGTCTTCGATAAAGGACATTGACACTTCATGATCGGGCATATATCAGAACATGAGTCCGCTGTTACACGACAGCAATAGTCAAACTTGACATACGCGGCTCCTTTTTGGATTATACCTCGGTGGAGTGTTGAAAAAAACTGGTTTTTTTTGGCAGCGCTATAGTCTGCATGAGGCTTCACTTGAGCTGATGTATCCCAGGGAGGACAGCCAGATTAACTAACTATTTACATTCCTGCTCCGTGCATGCATGCATGCATACTGTATGCCCATATGTACATTTGCCATGCAGCAGCGTAACCCTGCGTTAGGTAAATCATGTATGCTGTATGTACAAGAAAACAAAGTATGTATTGAAGCGTAGAGGAGTCTGTATGTAACTTACTTTACATGCATCCATCGTTACATACAAGACCTACATACGTACTTGTATCTGCAGGTTTGCGTGTGTCTAGTAGTCTCACGCCTCGTGTCAAGCGAGGCATTGGAATGCGATTGG